CTTTTCCAATCTTAATGATTCTATGGTTCTGAGTTAGGAGAGGATGGCTTTGAGTTGCTGTAGCAACTCAAAGGGGAAATGTTGTGCTGCAGGTCTGTTCCTGGACCTGTGACTCACACCCATAGTCCATAAATCCCATCTGCCTGGTACCTGCCTTGTGACATGTGCTGAGCAGGTGTCCCTGGCTGACTGTGCCCTGCTATGTTGCAGGGAAGAGCAAGACTAATGATGGCTGCTTGATTGCTTGATTGCTCGCTTCCCCAAACTTCTGTGAAGCCAAAATTGGACTCCACAAACTCTGCTTAATAAGCAGTGACTTACTTGCTCCTCATTGACTCCACCTAGTAGGAAGGTAGAAAACAAATTATGTGGTTTGGGGTTCTGTGGTTCTCTCTGCCTCTGCTCCAGCAAGCACCTACAGATTTCAGATACCTGTTGGTGGGTCCCAGCTTGCTCCATCTGGCTGTGTTCCATCACAAGAGGCAGCTTGTCTCCCTTTCTTGCACTCCCTTGGTGATCTGAAGGGCAGAGACTCACCTGGCAGATTCTCCTGTGGCCCCTGAAACCTTTTGAAGTAATTTACAGGTTGATCTCACGTTGGGAAGTGTGGTTATCACCTCTTGAGAGGAACTGGACAGACAACAAACATTGCTGAAACACAGGGGGAGAAGTAATCTCTTTGGCCAAGTTATTACTGCCAAGTAATCTCTTTGGGGGATTCTTGCAAATTGTCTCTAAATGAAAGCCAACAAGCGAGACACCTGCATGGGCATTATCTCTGTAGTCCTGGGCACAGGACAGGGAGGGAAAAGGAAGTTTCTGCAAGCAAAATGAGTTAACATCGTTAGGTACTGTGACAAAGTTTTTTTAGCTAAATAAATAAGATTATTTGTGGAAACAAAAAATACCATAGCTGTGTCGATGAACTCAGGCCTCCAGAGAAATGTCTAGGCACTGCTATTGTATTGCTTTCCTTGACAAGGACTTTTTTAGACAGCTGGATGGCACGTGCATTTTTCTGGGTTTACCCACTTCTATCTTTTAGAGCTTCCTTAAGGAATACCAGTTATAAAGTCTGGCTGTGCCTTATCTTGCTGTTTCAAGGTTGTCTTCATGGACTTTTTCTTGCTGGCAGTTGCTGAATGGCACTTTGTATTTCTCAGAAGTTTCCTAAAAATCATATCAGAATATTAGAGACATACTCAACTTGAATCAGAAAATGGAATAAGAGTTATTTCAGCCATTCAGTCCCATCTCATCTTTTAAATAGCTTTGTAGTTATGTTCTCTGCACTAGTGAATTGCAAAAGTTATCTATGGAGCAGTGTGACTTTCTCTGCTTCTTTGCTCGCTTATTTACTTTGTCAAGTAAATTTCAGCCTTATGTAAAAGCCACTGCATGGTCTAATTCCTGTCTTAGAAAAAGGAAGAAAAAAGTGTTTCTAATAAGTATAATTCATTAAATTAGGCAGTGATGTATTAAGCAAAATTATCTGAAGAAAAGCAATTTAGATTCTTTTTGAAGGAAAGCTCCTCTGTTTGGGTTCAGTCTGAGTGAAACTTCGATTTTTTTAGTGTGTTATAGGCCTAATTCCTCCCAAATACTGAAGTTGAGGAAGAGTTTGGCCCACTAGGTGACTAACTTTAAACTTGAACTGTGTGTCAAAGCCACTGACTCTTCAGAGATGGGAGCTTTTTAAATGGCACTACAAGTATCGAAAGATATAGCCCAATGTGATTTTTTTTTTCCTAATAACATGCACCTGCATAATAAATCAGGCATAGGGATTTTATGTACTAAAAAGAACTTGGAGCTGAATAATAATAAAACTGAGATTATATGTTTCATTGCCCCAAAGCAAAAATGTCTTTCAGTTGACTGATCAGAGAGGCAAACAAAGCAAATAATTTATGGCATTTTTTCTTAATGACAAGCAAGTCAAGGATCAAACATATCATTTATGAATCCAAAAAAGAGTGAGTATTCGTGACCTTCAGTTGCTTTGCTTTCTTCTTCAAAACAAAAGAATTTGCTTCCTTTAGGATTTTTATTCTTAAAAAGTACAAATAACGCCTCAAAGTCCTACCCGGAATAACAGTGACTGTAGAAAAACGAGCCTGAGCTCAATTCATATAGCCACAGTTCTCCTTTTAGGTAAAAATATTTATACCATTCTGAAGTAAGTCAAAGAAAATGAGATCAGAGCATAAATAAAGCAACTAGGTTGGCTTTCTTGTTCCTGTTAGTATTATTCTTTTTGGTTGAGGAAATGGGAAGGTCATATCTGCCTGTAGGAAAGCATCCTGGCAGAGGATAAAGAAATGAAGTGATGAAAAATTGTCCATTCTTTCCTTTTCTCATTAGTTTGCTTGTAATCGCCATTTTGTAAGCAAACAACTTCTGCAAACTAGCCGTGTTCCCAATGATTAGGGTGCATAAGGGAAATACCTGTAAAATGGGAGAAAATGATGCTCTTCTTCTTCTCCAAACAACTTATTTCAGTGAATGCACACTTACTTATTGGCATGCCATAGCACACCCAAAATGCTTTGATTTAGAAGCGAAGATCAGCTAAAGTACAGAAAGCTTCCATGTTTTTGATGTAGCATGCCCTGGAAATGTGTACAAGTTTGGTTTCAAAGTGTCTGAGTGTCATTTCCTAACAGGTGTAGAGGCCAGGATTGGGCAGCTTTGTCCCTCTTGCCTTGTTTTTGCTCCTGAGAATTTGCCCTTTAGGAGATACAAGCCTTGTTCTGAAGTAGGAATTGTTTGAAGAGATGTGATATCCTAAATGCACTGTAATCCAAACCTGACAGCCCCCGTACTGAGTGGGAAAAGACTTTCCCAAGGAGGGGCAATTCGGGAAGGCAGAATATGTGGGTGTCTTCTGTCTACCTATGACATTCAAAATGCCGCTACTTACTGGCTGCCTGTCTGTAAGTGGGAATTTTTGACACCGGCTGTGCTGTGGGCTTTGGGAAGGGGTTACTGCCTCTTGAACTAGGGGGGTTTCAAAGAAGCAGCACCATAAATGGCTCCATAGAGAAAGCGGGAGGAATGGACAGAGTGGCTCTTATGGGATGGACAGAGCAGCTTTAATGTGCTAATGAGGGGAAGGCCAGATGCCAGCAGCGATCAGAAGGGCTCTTTGTGGCTCTGTCTCTCTGGAGATGGCTGGAGTCTCTGTCCTTATCGGGGTTGTTTCTGCAGGCAGAGGGAAACACTGGGGCTATTAGTGAGGTGTTCTCTTCCTTTAAGTCAGCAGATAGCCTTACAGATTAGCACTTGAATACTGATTAGGGCTAATTACTTAGGAAAAAGAAGTTGCTGAAGAAGCTTGACATTAAAAACTACAAAAAGTAGCCCCCAAGCCCAACAACAACAGAAGTCTCATGTTCAAAGGCTTTTGAGCAGAGCTCAAACTCATCTGAAATCACCTGTTGCAAAAACAGCTGTATGGGGACTCATAAATTGCTATGACTGTAAAGTGTGTAAGTATTGGTAGTTTTGAGATTCATGTTGTGAACTGCCTACTCTACCTGTCTGTGCTTATTTATGTCTGTCATCCATCTAGCTGAAATTTTTACTGAAAACACTTCAAGTTTTGAAGTTTGTCTTTCAGCTTTCTCTGGCTTGGTTTCTCTCGTGATTTAAAAAAAACATTTCTTCAATACGTATTCACTCTCAGTCATTTTTCTTGGAGACAACAAACGATTGAGGTAGCAGGTTTGACTCCCATGCATCACCTTTTCCTCAGTGCAGGAGGGAGCAGCCCCATAGCCTGGCTGTGCTGGGTGAGCACACCCGTACTCAGTGCCCTACACAGTGGCCTACATCTGCAGGGAGCCTGCTGGCTTTTTGGGATGTGCCATGGCACACGGGGATGACCAAATAATTTCCTAGAGGAGGGGGGTGACCCTTGATCTCACCAGAAAGGTCTGTCCACAAATGATGCCATGCAGGCTCCATGGTAAAAAATAGGAATGCTTGTTAAGCCAGTGTTCTGTTTATAGCTGATACAGTAACTTCAGTCCATAATGTTCCCTTTGGTGTGGTGGTCACCTTTGCTTCCTTACATTGCCTGTTCCCCATGTAATATGAGAGGTCACACTCCACCTTCAGATAGGTCTGACCTGTGGCAACCTGTAGGAACTTTGGAGCTGGATAGATAATCTTTTTTGGTATAACGTTTTTTCCTAACAGAAAATGTAGACAAGTCAAAACCTTCTCAAGAAGGATTGGTCTTTCTAGAGACTGCGTGTTTAGTAAGGTTTCTTATGTCCAGACTAGATTGTTTTGGTTGGAGAGCAAGTAAGACTTCATGGTAATCTGGTGATGGGAGTGCATATGTAGGAGACCATGATTAACTCTGCTTTGCTGCATCCCTGGAGGCTGCTGTGAGCACATCTGCTGTGAGGTTCCCTTAGGATGAAGAACCTCAAAAGGTCGTGGTTTTGTATTGATGCAAAACACAAGAATTTTTTAAACTTATAAGATTACAACTGGAAGATGCTTCCCCATCCCCTCCCCACCCCCCGCTCATTTTTAAAGGCATTTCAGGTTCCAAGGTGTTCATTTACAAAAGCACGCTATGCTTGAAACAGATTGCTGCTTCTCTAATACAGATAAATGAAGTAATTTATGTCTAAAAACAAGACCATAACCCTAGTGTTAATTTCAACCTGTAAGCCAGCATTAGCTGGTAATGGAAATAAAACAAAATTTGAAATATTTTTAGTGATGGCCATTAATTTACTTAGTCCTCTTTGGTGTTCATTTGTCTAAGGAGCTTTCGTGTGCATGTCCAGGAGCTTTACTGTATGTAATTCGGCTGCACTGATTTTAAAAGGGAGCTGTCTTCTGTGCCACATTTATTCCCATTAGTTTTCGCATCTGGCAAGTGTTTTTTGATAGGAGTTGGCTTTTCCTGCTTTCCATTTGGTAGAAATGGAATATGAGTTAAGAGGGGTGTAAATCTTCCCTCCCCCCTCCCCCCCCATTTAGTGAAATAGAGAAGAAGCCATTGACATTGTGGGATGGAGATTCCAGAATCTGTTCCTGCTCTGATACCTCTTTATCAACGCTTCAAAGCAGAAGAGAGCTCCACAGCTCCACTCCTGGATCTCTCCAGCCTAAAATAACTAAATATTCTGGTCCATAATGTAGCCTTGAGGTAGCTATTTCAGAGCTTTTCAGGGGAAAGGCAAGTTTGAGGGAGCTGGGCTGGGCTGAATAAGAGTGGTGGCTGCAAGGTAGAAGCTGGGGGAATCCTCTCTCCTTTTTTTTTGAAGAGAGGAGGTAAATGTCTAACTCTTCAAGAGTGGACCTGAAGTGAGTCACTGAAACGTAGGGGCCAAATGCTCCAAGGAGGGGTAAGGCATAAACTGTACCCTGTCTGATGCTTTCTGATTTTTACCAGGTGATTTCAGTCAGATTTTACCAAAGATTTTAGTCTTTGTCTACTCAGGTGCCTCTGTGGCTTTCCCAGGGTGCAATATTATTCTGCATGGATCTTTTGGGTTTGTTTTTTTTTTTGTTTTTTTTTTTGCCCTATGATGGTGAGACAAATGATAACAAATACTTATTAAAATTAAATTAATTACCTTGTGATTATTTTAAGTCCTGGTATTTTATGGAGTTTTAACAGCTCTGTATTTCTGGTGGCTTCTGCAGCCTGATCTGGACCATTTGCCTTCTGAAATCTCTTCTTACTTGAAGCTGAGTAGTGTAATGAAACTAAGGGTTTCTTCCCTTTTGCTGCTTTCTTTTTCTCTCCCTGCTGCTGCTGCTACAGACATGAAATGCTTTTGAATATGTTTTTTTTAACTCCCTCCTGCCAGTATATTGAGGTCTGTAGGGATTGTCCTGGACAAATTGAAAGTGAGAAAGGACAGAAAATAGCAAGTAGGGTGGGTAGAGTTGAGCAGTGAGCTGGAAAATATTTTTATGCGTATGGGATTTGATACTTTAAGGAAGTAAAACTTTAATGTTGTAAATATAATTTTCATCAGGCTGGGTATGAGGATTAAATACCCTTAGGCAGAAAAAGTTTCCAAGCTTCATCCCATATAGTGGGGAAAAAGCCGTCACCCAAATATAAGTAATGATCAACTGAAGTGCCTCCTTGTCCTGGTTTGGGACAAATTTGGAAGGGAACTTCCAAAGGGAAGATCCCCTAAAGGGCAAAATTCAGCGGCTTTTCTGCCCACTTGTTCGGGAGATAAACCTCCTTCAAGAAAAGTGGAAAAAACCTGTTTATTTAACAAGCAAAGTATTCACAAGCATAAAAAGTTGAATATTATTAAACAATAAAACTTCTTGCTGTTCTGAAGAGATAGCAAATGCAGAAAGTCCTTCTGTAGTTCAGAGGTGTTTCTCTGTGCGTGTTTCTCAGCTCACTGAATGTCCTGGCCCCGGTGGCCACAGGTGTGAGCTTCCAGTGTTTTTTCTGGGTTTTGGTCCAGAGCAGGTATGAACAGTTTCCGGAAAAGGAAAAGCCACAGTCCAGGGAACTTCACTGCCTCAGCTAGCTAACAAAAACTAATTAAAAGCAAAGGAGAGCTCTCTCCTGCTGTCCAAACATGCTGCAGACAGCACAGTCTGTGAGAAGGAAAGCTGAAGTTCTTATCTCTGTGTTTTTGAAAACACCATGAAAAAATTCCACCTCTTCTCCTTCTCCCCCATTTCACTCTCAGATCTAGTTTTAAAGCACAAAGCTTATTTCTGGGCTAAGCAGATGAATGGGGATACAATTCAGCATCAAAAAGTTACTCCAGGACACTCATTTTCCTGCATAAACTACAAGACATGCACAGGTAACTTCCAGTCAGACTTTGATACCTGACCTCTGCTGTCAGGTACCTAATGTGCTTAGTGGAACACTGTAAAAAAAGGACTTTCAACATTTGCAGAGGTGCTGTCCAGCTTGTCCCAGAGCAGGCAGCACCTGTAGGTAGTCCTGGAGACCTTGTTCCATTACTACCTCCTCACATTCTTCTGCCAAAGCTGCTTTGCTTTTTGTCGGTGCTCACCAGCACGTTTTTGACAGTATACTTAAGGGGTTTCTTTTTGGGTCCAGTCTGCGATGGGGGAATTATGTCTTCAATGACATCCAGTAGATTCCAGAACATTTGGAGGATTTAATCTAGAAGCACAAGGGCAAGGTGGTGTGATGGTTATCATACATGCATGAAGGCACCTCTTACTGGTACTGTAAAGGAAAATTCCAAGTTTTCTTGCATTTAAACATAATGGTGACAGCAGAACAACTGTTCAGTATCAGAAATGCACTCAAGGACTGGGTCAGAGTGGTCAAGGTAAGATGCAGTGCCATGATGGTGGTTGAAGGGTTGCCAGAAATAAAATAGTTACACTGGATTTGTGTTAACCAAGCAAAATCTCTGGGATTCAGAGTTGGTCCTGCTCTAGAGAGGTTACTTGAGTTTAAGACACCAAGTAATTCCCTAGTAATTCACTTGAAAAATTCTGTCTGTGACTGTAAGTATGTGATATCTTTTAGTTACCTAAAATCAACTTCCCATTATAAATAAGTAAATTCTAGCACATTTTAACTTGTAGAAGAATTTCTGTTAAATGTGATGTCTGAAATTGTCCATAAGTATTGATTTGGTATGCATTACTGTTAATGGAACTTATTATTACTCACTAGATTAATTTATTAGATTTATCTCTACATTACAACCTATAGATGTATTGAGACATGAGCCCACAGAATCAATACCAATTTCTTTCCTCATTTATGAATGTTCTTACTAACATCCAAAACACTGTTACACTCAAGAGTATTTAGCTGCTATTTATTGTGAAGCATTACACTCCAACAATTTTAAATTTGTCTTTTTTCTTTGTCCTTTAATGATTATTTTTTCCATTTATCTGGGAACTTGTTTGAACAAAATGCCATGCATCAAGTTTCAAATGAGTCATGATCATACTTCAGCCATTGAGTCTAGCAGTAACTTAGGTGTGCAAAATTAGGACTGAGACCAGAACCTAATCTTCGAGATGCGTTTTGGCTGCTGTTCTGTGTGGCAGGCCCAAAGTGGGAGAGGGAACAAAAGAACAAATGTAACTTCTCCTAAGTTGCCTGCCAAATGTGGTGTATTTGCATGTTTTCCTTTGAGCAGCAGCCATGCGTGCATTTATCTTTCAGAAGCAGCAGTGTTTGGCTGAGGAGCAGTGGCAAAGACCAGCTGAAATGGGTTACTGATGTGGAGCTCATTCACTTGCTTCCAGAGCTTGAGCTGTTGAAAGCTCATGGTGGGAAGTAGAAGAAGTGACGTACAGGAGAAATACGGGGTAAGAAAGCTGTTTGATCACTCCTGCCTCTGCTGCAATTCAAGACTGGTAGACAGCACTGATGGCAGGGAGAGACAAGTCTTCAGATAGTCCTAACATTGGCATTTCTATTCCCATCCCAGCTCCAGTGGTGTTTGGGGATAATGTCCTTCCTTCCTCTGGATGGACTAGAAATGTTCTGTAACTCTCAGGAAGAGAATTGCAGGGACTGTTTTGGTCTCATCCCAGCCTTTAAATGCAATTCTAAGCAGCTCACCAGATGTTTATATGGAGAAATCTCCAGCAGCTGCATATGCACAGAGATAATTTTTCATCCAGTGGTCTGAAAGGTGAAACTCTGTAAAACTCACTCTTCTCTGGACAGTCCTTCTTTCTTGTTTTACTGTAAACGTTGCTATATTCACTGACAATGCTTCATATCTGACCAGTTTTTGGCTTGTAGTTAACTATTGGTGCTGTAGCTGCTGCTTGTGCACCACTGCAGTTACTGGGCATTAAAAGCTCAAGCCTGATAAATGAAATACAGCATGTACAAAGGATCAGCCAGGTATAAAAGGGAAACTGAGGGGAAAAAAATCACCCCCAAAAATATCATATATAAGTATTGTGCAGAAGTAGGCATTAGAGTTAAAAAAGTGGTGAGTTGCCCCATGAATACTGTTTGCCTGACCCAGCTATGGGGTTTGGGATGAAAGCCAGAGCAGGGTGATTTGTGTCATCCTGACTGTGCATGACTAAAAGTTACAGGAGAGCTGGTGGACAAAATGCAGCTTTACCAACGTGTGCAGTGCAGGACAGGGAGGGGTTGTTTGGTTTGTTTTCAGGGGTTTTTGTTTTGTTTTGTTTTGTTTTGTAAATCAGTAGCTTCTGATTTACAGTCCAGAATTGGATGCCAATCAATTTTTTTGGCCCTGGGTGAATCTCTCAACCTCTCTGGGTCTTGTTCGGCACCTGTAAAATAGGGACAATTAAACTTAACTACCCAGAAGAGTTGTTGATTAGTTAATGCTTGTAAAATGCTACACAGTGCTATAAAACAGAGCATAATACTCAGAAACATCTGGTTTGCAGTTACTATAGTGCTTCTCTGAAACTTTATGGGCAAACTTTGCCAAGAAACAAAATTATTACTGTGTGCAATACATGTAGGCATTCGGAGATGAGGGACAGACCGCTTTTCAGAAGCATCTAACTTTCCTCAGGTACATTCAAAATACAAGAGGTTTCCCAAAAGCACCTGAAGTGGCCTGCAACTGAAAACAGTGTCAGGTGAATTTGAGGCTGCAGAATGAGGCTGTAGCAGTTAGCAGAAGAGCTCCTTATTCCATTCCTATCTTCTTGTTCTTATTCTTGACCCTGCCTAGCTTCTTCCCCCCCTTTTTTTTCTGGTGGAACTGATTGCACAGTACTGTCAAAAACCAGGTTGGTGGTTGGATTCAGATGGGAAAAAAATGGGATAAAAATGAGGAAAAGTTTCTGCCATTGTTTGTTTGTGTTTCCAGATGGATCTTACCTCCAGTGTGGTTTATCATGTGGCTACACACACATGGGCTTTGAGGCTGGTACATAGTGGAGTCTAGGGCAGTTGCAATTCTCCTGACACTGGAGATGATCCCATAAGCCATGTTAGCCAGACACAAAAGGTGTTGCCATCACAGAGCTTAGAAGGTGTGTTAGTGAGCCAACCCTTTTTCCTGCCTCCACTGATTTCATTGGAGACGTGTATGGTAGCAGAGAGCAATCATTTGGTGCAGGGCTGATCCTGGCTGAAACTCATCACGTTGTGTGTGAAGTTCTGCTAACAAAAGGGACAGAATGTGCTAGAGACAAGCTTGTAATAATTTCTGAGATTTGCTTGTTGACTGTTATTTGAGATACAATGTGAATATGTGCATGATATTAATAATACACATACATGCACATATTGACTTGGTTTAATAGGAGACTTAAAAAAATAGAAGCAGTGATGGAGGGAAGAAGTCATTTCCAAATCCATCACTCCTTCATTGATAAGTAGCAATTACTAAGAGAGGGTCACAAGTTACCTCATGTGAAGATTCAACTTCTCAGTCATTTTACAGAGCTAGGTAAGATGAACATGAGCTAAGGCTGAGGAATGAATTTGTTCTTAACAGAATATCATGAACTGCCAAAAGGAGGTTCCACTTCTGTCTCTTCCCTGCTCCTGGCCAAATTACTCCTTCTGCTTTTGCTAAGCCAGGTCTGGTTTCTGTCAGAGGCAGATCACTAAAATCACAGATCATTAAACCAGCTGAAAGAAGTTGCTGTTGTAGCTGGGTTTTTAGTTAAGTTTTTATTAAACTGGACTGAAGATGAAAGAAAGGAGGTTGTTAGCAGGGAGCAGAGAGGAGCAAGGGCAGAGGAAACGGAGAAAACAGGGATGGGAGGTAAAAGAAACTGGAAAGAAGGAAGGGAAAGTATATCTTTCTATGGTCTCAAACTTTTTGTTTGGCTCACCTGTATTGTAATACCACGCCTGAGCTAACTACTTATTGCCAAAGTCCTCAGCTTCCTCCTGCCTTCTTGTTACAAACCTTAGTGTGATGTTCCTGTTAAAATGAACACATGTAAGACCTGTTGGCTATTGACAGCTGGTAAACAATCAGCTGTAGCCAATCCCTCCCTCAGGTAGGGGGGAAGTAATGTGAATATACTCAGAGAGGAAAAAGAATGTTGCCAGGTATCTGGCTGGTAGTGTGATTCTGAATGGGGGTGGTGGAAAAATGTGTGCTGTCAGACCTGTAAGTACTTGCTGCTGGAGGTGGTGGTGGAGGTGTGATGCAGCCCTAAATTGACAGTAGTCTTCTTTGTTACAGGTTAAATTTATTTATTTTTAGGCAAGCCTGAATTCAGTGGGGGTAGGCATTTGTGAAAAAACTGAGTGTATTCATGTTCTGTGTTTCCCTGTTGATAGAAAATGGAAGGGCAGCCTTATCCATGACACAGGTTTTTTTCACGGTAAATAAAACAGCAGACACATGTTCAGCAGGTCTAAAATCATTATATCTGGTGTGCAGCAGTGCTCCTGTGGGCTTTGTGACTCACTTCTGTCTCCCTGCCAAGGTGTGCACTAACTTCTTTGCTGTGGCTGACTAGAAAAATAGCCCAATCAGCGGTGGCCACTGAACTGGTTTGTCTACCTTTCCTTGCTTGCCTTGATGTATTATAGTATTCTCCTATAGTCCAGTGTGAATAGCAGTTTTTATTTTGTTGATGTGATCTTGGGCGCTTATTGCCATTCCCTGACTTACTTTCTTCCTGGAGCCAGCAGCCATGCACAAGCTTTCCCAAAACTGTGCCTCTGATCTGCAATCCCGTAACTTCAGTTACCAAAATAATTCTTTAAGAGCAAAATATCCACCAATTTTGCCACCTTGGGAATGGTCACAAGATTGTACTGTCATAGATAGTTTTCTGGAAGCGTTTCTGTTAGTCCTGCTTCCCAAATTGATCCTGTATCCTCCTAGATGTTGTATTTTCACTTGCAGTAGTGCTGTATAGAGGTGCTGCACAGTTCCAATGTATCAGTTCATAACAACCTCTTCTCTCCTACAGGAAGCAAAGATTTTTATATTTAAAGCACCAAAAGCACAGGTAAGGAGGAAAAGGGACTTGTCTTCAGGTTGGGAAGGTGTCTCTTACTAAGAATACATGCTCTGTTGATTTTTAAAAAAACAAAATAACAACACCTCACCCTTCTCACCCCCAGGAAAAAAAAAGAACAAACCACAAAAAAACCAAAAAAGCAAAGCCACACAAAGAAATACCACCAAACCCAGCAACCTTGCTACAGGGCATTATACAGCAATTTGTGTTTTGATACCAAAATGAGTGAAGAGGAAGGGAAAGGGAAAGAAGGGAAAGCGAAGAAGTTTTTAGGTGAATTCTGCCAGTGTTTGAATCCCATTTGTTGGGAGTAGAGAAATGCAAAACAATGAAAACCTTACATTGCCTGTCTGTGTTCAAGTATGCTTCTGTGGCATAGAAATAAGTTATCGTGGAGGGAAGGACCTGCTTCTTGCTGTTTTGGTGTCTCCTGATGACCATGGCTCTGCTCTGATCTTAGGTAGAGATGGCCAATGAACTAACTTTCAGGTCTGCTGTGGTATCACCACATTGGCTGTTTTTATAAACGCAGTGATGGTGATGTCCTGAAAGAGGGAAAGAAGATAAAAGACTTATGGTGTGAATAAACAAAATACATCATCAATGCAGGGAAAAGTGATATGTCAGTTCTTATGATGAATTCCTAGCTGGACCCCAAAGTTCATGATAATCCCCAGTTTTGTTTCCTTTGCCTGTCCAACTCTCTCCTTTCCTCCTCCCCTGACATGACATGCAGCCTCCCTCCACAGCCACAGCAGCACCATGGTTTCAATATTTCCTGTAAAGGAAGGGGGAGTAAGGGGAGAGTCCCTCATGCCTGGTTAAGAGGGTCTATTATAGAGGATTAACTGTGCCCAAACAATGAAGCCCCTCGAGGAGCCGGTTACCCTTTTGAGATGCGTGTGTGGGTAAGAGGGCACACTGCTGTCCCTGTATCCCAGCCCAAGTGCGTGTGGTTCCATGCCCTGGTTGCTATGACAATTAATCGCGTCTTTTAAGGGCTGGTGCCGACTACAGATCCCTGTAAATTGCCTGAAAGACTAGTTAAAGCTGCTCCTCAGGCACCTTTATTTGCTTTTACCCACAAAAAATGGGATGGAGAGGTTTTCTGCTTCCTACTTGTAAAAAAAAAAAAAAGCCAGAGTAACTTGGTATATGCTTTTAGACTGGCTTTCCCTTTCCTGAGCATGATGAAACATGAATTTTTTCCTGAAGAACAACTGTTAAATAGACAGAGATGTGATGCCTTCTAGCTCTGTGCATGTAATCTTCATGTGACCAGCAAATTGTGCATGCCTGGGAAATATAAGTAGTATAGTCTTCAAGAGGTGTGCATGGATTGTTTTGTGTGTGTTTGTTTTTATTGGAAGGTTTGCACTAGGCCATTAATGTGTATGTCTTTGGCTTTTCTTTGTACATGAAAAAAGAGCAACAGGGAATTACTGGTGTCTCAACCTGCAGCAAGACCGTACTCTGTACTTGCTTGTTTGCCAAGGTAATGGGAGAGAAATAGGTGTTTCCTATGTCATTAGTCCAGAAACCTGAACAGCAGCAAATGCAAATATTCTTAAAAGTCTTCCTGTAGGTTAAAGCGCTGTTCATTGGAAAGGCAGTCCTAACTCAGTACATTATTAGAATGGCTGGAAAAATATGTCCAGAAGTTTGATAAGTTTTTTTTCTTCCTTGAAGTCACTAAAGTCTCTGTTACCTTTAATATTGCTTCTCCGGGAAGGAAAAAAACACCAAAACCAAACCCCATGAAGGGAAACAAGTTTAAAGGGATAAGTTATCAAATGCACAATATTCTCTCTCAACCTTAAACAAAAGGAGAGGTGCGATTCAGCACAGTCTCTCTTTTTTTAATGAATGTCACCTTGATCCAAACATTCGTGTACACAACTTATGTCTGAGGAAACTTAAAATTGCTTTTACTGGAGACAGTGGGCAAGATGTTGGCGTTGTTTGGTATGTCACATCAGAGTCAAATGTACTAAAATAGATTAGGTAACTTTGATTATCATAAATATGAATAGCTTTGTGCACTCAGTGCATGCTATGTATCCTAGTTTTGGGTGGTTAATTTTGTCCCACTGGTCACAGAGTCGTGAATGTACCATCTGCCATCACAGGTGTATAATATTGGCTTGCTTTTCATTTGTAATTTCAGTACTTGAGGAGTATCAAGTAGTACTGTTGATAATTAAGCCGTGGCTGAAGAAATAGTTGTGTTCCATCTTGTGTATGGAAAATATGTATGATCTTTCAGAACTGGTCAAGCTGGAGCATCAACAGGAGAAGCAATCAAAATGGACCCAACCCCCAGTCTATGGCTCTGCAGCCATTATTTATTTCCCTTATCAAAGAGTTTTAAACTGGAAGTGTGCAGGATTGCTGCTCAAGGCCTGCAGGCTAAGGTCTTGTTTATTCAGTTTGTTACCTCCAGGATCAGCTTTCCTGTGTGGAAGAAAAAGAACCAGTTAAGTAGCAGTACACTCCCTTCCTTCCTTTTCATGGTGCCCGTGGAAAACCCTTTCTCAAGTCTACATTATTCCTGGTCAGCAGAGAACTGTGAAAGGCCCCAAGACAGGTGGTGTTTTTGAGGTAGTACCTGTTCAACTTACTAATAGCCCTGGAGGTACTATTCAGTGAAGAAAATAACATCATCTGGCCTTGCCTTGCCATTGACAGTCAGAGCCCATCTCAGCATCTGGAACTGGCTTGCAGGGGATGTGAGACAGAAAAGGTTTCAGTTCCTGTCATACGTGTAGTGGCTCTGCATCATGATAATTGTGATCCAGACAAAGACCTGAACTTGTGTATGCCCACACCCATACTGCTGCTAGTACTATTAAACTATTAGCCTCTTGCTCCATATTTCTCATGAAACTCTGTTCAAGCCAGTATCTTTTATTTTTTTCAAATACGATGTTTGTTTGGGTTTTTTCCCCTTTAATGCAATGTAATAGTACAATGGGGTTCTTGCTTCAGCAGCCCTGTGTATGTGAGCAGTGGTTGCCTTGAACACATCACTGATTACACAGGCCCTGGTGTTGTGCAGTGCATCCTGTTCAGCCATCACTGTATATTCTTACAGGAGTCCTGAAACTTCTTTTCCTCTCCTGCATCCACTGCAGTGCCAGGACTCCCCTTTATGGAAATGGTGGGCCAGGTTCTCGAGGCTTTTCTTGGGTGATGTTCCACCAGGTCCCAGTGGGACTGTACTGGGAGGCTGATGGAGGTGGGGAGGAGATAGCCTGCTGCCATGGCAGAAAGCTGAGCGTGCTCTCCCGCTGCAGGACCTTGAAGCCCAGCAGAATGACAAGATGGCAGCTTCTTTACCTCTGCTAGCGGTGCAAGAAGAAACTTGCTCTTGTTTGATACTCTCTGAGTTCTCACTACTAAAACCCCTGGGTTCTCGACACTGTAGGGCCACAAGATGTCTGACAGGAGCCACCGTGGTGCATGGTAGGAGCTGCTGCCGCCACTTGTGTCACTGCTGCCAGCCATGGCTCTGCTCTGCTCCTGCAGGGTGGCTTCAGCACAGAGCCCTGCAGCATTGTGTCAGCTCCATTTGCCCTGGGAAACACTTTTATTTTATCTTTGTTCTTTTAATTCTTTGACTTTTGTGAAGCATTAGGTAGTTGTCCTTTTTCCCCTGCTCCCTGTGTGGCTGCTCTTCCCTTCACCCTTTCACCTGCAGCATCCCCTTTCTTCTCCCCAGCCTGGCTGCCTCTTTTTCTTGCCCTTCTCACAGAGGAAGATATTCTTAGGCAAGGGTCAGATGCTCAGGTCTCTTGGGGAAAGTACTTCAGGGTTCTGAGACAGAAATAGCATAGTGACTTTTGGTGCCTGCTGGGAGGAGTCACTAGCCTGTGTCCTCTCCCCCAACTTCTTTGGGCTCTCATGGAGTTGTTTGGTCCCACTTAAATGTGTAGGTTTGAAGGGGCTCTGAAAAGCAGAAGTGAGCTGAGTCTGTTTTCCCATGGCTTTAATCTGTTTAGAATGTCTTATAAAAGCAATGTGTCTAATTAAAAATAAAAGCAAACTTACATTAAGATTTGATTTTTTGCAACTGAAATTGTTTGATGTGGCAACCATTGGACTGCAAATGATGTCTTTGTGGCAGCAGCCTCATTTGTCATCACGTGCAGGGCTTTGCACTCCTGTCCTGGCTTTGTCTCTCAGCGCTATGGATCTTCCAACTGCAGAGAAAATCAGGTGAGGCACAACATCTCGTCTTGGGGAAGAGCAGTTTTAACATAACAAGAGTATACATAAAATCAGCTATATGTAGTTGAGAAGATTAATGCTGTAATGGGATAATTACAAAGCAGTAGTATGAACAAAGAAAAAAAGCTTTAGTTTTAACCCATGTTCTGACATGCAGTCCCTGCCTTTTGAGCAAGGCATTTTCCAGTTTTGCTTCTGGTTTTCCCCCTTGGATGCAAGCACTAGCCCTTCATCAGGAGATTTGGACTATTTAATGAAACAACCGGAAATATGCTGATAGGTGCTTCTAATTTGTATTGTAAATACTGGCTGGCAAGGAGAGCAAGAGGCTAGAAAGGCCATGGCACAGATATGGAAGAGTCTCTTCTGTCTCTCACTGCAAGCTCAGAAAAACATGAAAGGGCAATGTAATTGGGATGCTGTTGAATTATGTATAATACTGGCATCAAGTTCCCCATCAGTTTAATTTTGGTAATGCTTTCTATCTTGCCAACAGAATAGTCTCTGTAAATAAGCTGCCTCCTTGTTTGCTTGCATGGCCTGATTATATACAATTATCCCTTGACTGCTGTGACTTTTTAAATTAGTAGTGGGCTCAGCTGGGTAGGTATACTAGGATTTCATCTGAAATATTCATTGCTTTAACTGACCACATAAATGCACATGGTTCAACCCCAAAACCAGGAAAAGCCATTCTGCTGACAGCTTCACTGCCTTCCTTCAGTTTTCTTACCAATGGAATTGCTTGCCACAATAAGAATGACCTCTGTGGTTTTAAGTAGAAGGTACCCTCTCAACAGAAGTAAAATTGAGAGTATTCTATAAACATAGTACTTACAGAGCTTTTACATTTTCAAGTTGACCTGGTAACAGTAAAACTAACCTGGTCAGAAGGTTTTTGTCCAGCCTCAGATCCAGATGTGTCTGCAAGACCATTTTTTTCTGCCTACTTTGCAACACATCCACATCCTCCTTAACTTGTGGAAACCTCTGTTCTATGCCCCAGCTCCACATCTCTGAGGCATTGTTATCTTTACTGCTTCAGAGATGGAACACAATTTTCTCCCTTGTCAGAGGGAAATAACCATCTACAAATGCAGTGGTCAGGCCGTGATATGAAGACTAATACATGCATTCATAAGCCCAGATAAACTAGATTGGGATTCAGATTTCAGGTTACAGAAAATTTCTGCAGACTGTTGTTTGAACAAGGAGAAAAGAGTTGGCAAATTCATGTCAGCTGCAGTCAATGAACCTGAAATTTTTGTTTTAAATATTTGAAGAAGGTTGTCTTCAGCATATAGAAAATAAAGATCATTGTGAAGCATGTTAGAAAAAACATGGGTTTTGTAGTGAAATGTCCAGTGTTTGTCCCTACAGAGCTTGGAAAAATTAACACTTCCATCTTATATGGTGTCTGAAGAAGGTAAAAAATCAGAATACAATTCCCAAGTGTCTTGGTTTCTGCGTGGGGCGGTGGGGCATACTCATGAAAACTAGCTTCACCACAAAATTTGCCTGTTCACTATGTACTATAGTAATAAGCTTAACACAGGATTTATTAACTTCCTAAATAAAATACTACTTCTCTATATTCTGAGTTGAATTTTGGTGGCTGATCTAGAATAAAAATTAGTCCCAAAATGCATTGAAAGAGATTTGTACCCTCCAGTATGTCAAAGATTGATTCAGCCCCCCAGAGCTCCTTAGTTTTTAATTAACTTTTTTCCTTGCTCCCTTCACTGAAGTTTTTGTGATATCATCTTTTTCTGTGAAGCCCTAGCTTTGTGTACTCTTAGGAAAAAAGGTTATAGTTATTTTCCGGTAGGGATACCGAAGAATGCGAAATAACATGTAGTAACCAACCTTATGCGCTACTTATTTTTATTTTTAAGGGAAAAAATCTGAAAATCTTACTTCTTTCTGTGCTGTAGCAGAAGGCTTTTGGGGTGCCTAAAAGAAGACATAATTAGAACTAGTAGGATAGATACAAAAACTAGGTAGTAAAAGCAGGATTTGATGGAGGTGTCTATTTGTATGTGGACTAATCTTTCAGAAGAAGAGGTATCATCCAAACTAAATCATAGAAAGCCCTCCCAAACCCATTTGGAGGAAATAATTCTCTGCTGATGGGAGGAAGAGAGAGGTACTGATGATATAAAACATCCTTTGTAGCTCTGATATCGACAGCTCTTTGTCAGAATGACATTTTAGCGTTATTAAAGAGAGGGATGAAGGATCTGTATAAGAAGCATCAGGTCTAAATGTGACCGTGACGTGCTGTTTTCTGTTTCCCTTGGCGCAGGAGTATAGTTTGTCACAGGCATCCTCGCTGTGCACGGGCAGGTACCAGACCTGAGCTGCGGGCTCTGGCTGTCCCGCCGGAGCAGGATGGGGAGCGGGGTGTCATCCCAGCCCGGCTGGGCTCCGCTGCGGGCTCTGTGCCGGGGAGCGGAGCGGGGCTGCCCTGCAGGGCTCTGCCGGCCGGGAGAGGCAATGGCAGCGGGCAGGGCTGCAGCTGCCCTGCTTTGATGTGCTGCTGGGCTGCCTCGCAGCGCGGTCCCCGCTCCCTCCTTTGTGGCACCTAAACTGCGATGAAAGCCTCAATGAGCCCCTCCGCTAGGCAACGCGGGCAGCGGCGCCTGGAATGCGGCGGGTTCATTGATGAAAGCCCGGCTGAAGGGCGGCGATGCCTTTGTGCGAGCGCGGCCGGGCCCCGCACGGCCTGCCCGGCTGAGCCGCCGGGAACCCGCCTCCTCCGGCTCGCTCTGGGGTGCAAATCTCTTGTGTTCGAGTAATGCGTCCTCACAAAACACTGCACGAACTCGGGGGCCCCTGAGGGCTACCCCATAGAGTTGGGAGGCAGAAACATAGCAGAGACCTGCTGCATGAAGAAGCGAAACAGCATTTTGTGTGGCTGCTTTGAAAGATTAAAAAAGATCCCAGCAACCTGCCAGACAAAAAGTAGTGTGTTGTTTGGGTTTTTTCGGCCCCAAACACAAATGTGAAACAATGGAAGTGTCCTAGTAGCCAAACAATAAATGAACTGAGTGTGAGGTACGTGTTTCATTGCCTGCCAGCCTGAGAGCAAAAATTGCATCTAGAACAAATGGGTGAAATTTGACTGAATTAGCAGAGAAGCACCGTCTTGAGGTCTCACTTTCCCCACTCTAATTATTATTTTTTATGGAAGCCCCAGTTGTGCTCCAAGGCTGAATAAGTGGAATTTTTCTTCCAAAGAAGATAAGCCAACTGCTTGGCTATGAATGGAGAATTGCATGTCTTCCAAATTACCACACCCACTCTCAACACATGATGATTTTCTGAGATTCGCAAGTAAGTTTGAGATGTAAATGGAATTCTAAATTTTATTCCTTTGAGCCTTCTCTGGCTGCTTCTTTTTCATGTGCAACACAGAAAAATAGCGCAGAGCTTACACCTTTTTTTTTTTTCCCTTCTCTTTTGTTCTTTCTTTTTTCCCCCCACTGTTGTAGGGCCTGAATCCATGATGCCTTGACTTTCACAGCCTCGTTGTGCTGATAGATAGAGGAAGCTTGAGAAGTTTTCCTTGTAGACATATTTTTGTTGTTGTAGATATAGAAGTGCTGCATAGAGTATACATCTTCATGCTGGAAGAGAGGAGGAACACTTCAGTTAGCCAAAGCAAAAAAAGATGGAGAAGAAATAATATAAATGAAGGTCCTTTTTTTTTTTTTTTTTTTTTTTTTTTTTTTTTTTTTTCTGTCTCAAGATGCTAGCTGTGGTGCAGCCATCAGTTTTACCATCCTTTCTTCTTGGTGCAAATGTTGTGTTTTTCACCTAAGCAAGCTCAACTACCTGAAGGAGACTTGTCACAATCAGGAACATGAGCTATTCCTGTAAGCTGGAAAGTGCTGACAGCTGAATAATTTTCATTGATGAATTGCCAGTGTGATTTTTTTTTTGTTGTTTTAAATTTATGCACTCTAAGCTCTGAGTGTAGGTGCATTTTTAATAAAGATGTGTGCCTTCCCCTCTTCTTTGTGGAAAAGTGAGAAGTGACCTGAGAAGTCTTTTTTTTTTTTTTTTTTAATGGCTTAAGTTAGAGGGGATGCATTCCACTCCCAAATTAGTAGGTTGCTCTTGTCTTCTGAGGGGAGTCTTAAGTTAGAGGGGATGCATTCCACTCCCAAATTAGTAGGTTGCTCTTGTCTTCTGAGGGGAGTCAAAAATCTTTGACAAATTCTACTTGTTGAGACTCAGTCTACTTCCTCCCCAGCACATACACAAGGTAAACTTGTGTTATGCAGGAGACCCCTAAAGGTAAATGAAAGTGCTCCCACATACACCCCCCCCCCCTCCCCATCTGGGAACAACTGAGTGGTGCCTAGAAAAAGGTTTTGTTGTAATAGCTAGACTATGGTTCCTTCTGTTCTATTTGAATCAGAGAAAAGCACCTTGCTGGCTTTAGCAGGAATATGAAAGGGTGAAATGATGATGGCAAGAGCACTGGAAATGAAAAAGAAGATTGGTGTTTTTATAAAACCTTTTAATTGATTTTAATGTGTGGCTTTTAATGGTAGCATTTAAAAGACTTTTAGTAAATAATCTCCTCAGTACCGGCGTTTATTTGGAGAAGAGACATCTCCATGAGAGATTTTTAAACGACAGTGCTTCATGCCATAGGTAAATCAACTAAATGGTGTTTTAAATACCCATTGATTTCCTTCTTTCAGCCCCTGTACTTCTGCTATATTTCATGCTGCCTTGCTGTGTGATAATATTGGGCTGTTGTACAGCTAATAAAAATCTTACTGCTCTGAACAGCAAAAATAAACCCATGTTTTGCCTCATACTTGGAGACAGATGAGGATCTTTCCTGTGCTGGTGAGTGAGTTATTGGGGAAAACTGGCAGACCTAATCCTTGTTGCTAATAGGTAATATGTTCCTTCAGATTTAATTTTTATCAATTTTAGGTAAGTTTAGGTGTCTGTGTTATGGAGAAGCAGCAGTGAGTATTAGATCTATGTCACTTAATTCTTGTAGTTTTAATGGGGGGTCTCCTGTCAATAGAGCCCTTTTTAGAGCTTTCAGTGAGATCTTAATACTGAGTTGGTGTGTGGAGGCTGACACCATCCACTTTTTTTTTGATGAAAACTTGTTCTAATTTGGCCAAGATTCACATGTCTAGAAAACCACAAATCACAATGAGATGTGCTACAATACAGCTTGTGTCTGACACCATGCCAGACTTAAGTGTCCACCTAGTAACACACAGATCTATCTTCTACTTGGAAGTGTGGTACCCTAAATAACATCATGAGAGTACAAAAGGGAAAATACATTCAGATTTACCATAGGTAAATAAAAGGGAGGATTTTTAACAACACATATGATAAAATTTTCCATAATGTGAAAGTACCATCCTGTGGCCTGCTAATGTAGAGTCTGGTATCTTGCAAATAAGCAGCAAAGTGGCATAAAAAAGATGGGTACTGTACCAAATGGCTAGATAAAATTAATTCAGCTACTAGAAAAATAAGGCACATATCTTTACCTCAATGACTTTGCAGTAATTACCCTCAGCTACTGCCTGCTAATTCTTGGTTGGATCTTAATTGACATACTCAATTATAAAACTATAAATTTGGGAAAGATCTCCCTTGTCTTTAGCTGCAATAATGTAGCTAATTCTAATAACGGTTTGTTATCTTGCCAAATACGTTTAGCAAAAGATTTTTCTAACAGTTTAATGTCCCTACAAGAAAAAAAAGAATATTCACAATCTCTGAAGAATATAAAACATCCAATCGATAAGTTAATCAAATTAATCCTGTCAGTTGTAGAGAGAGGTTGGGTTTTCTGCTCCCTGGCACTGTAGTAGCTGCAAATGTTGATAGCTAAAAGAAAAAACAACAGTGCATAAACTGAGCTGTGGGTTGGCAATGATGCTTCTTTTAGATCTTGAGAAATTTTGTGTTCTCTGGACTCCTATTATGTCCCATTACAAATTTACCAGTTTTACAAATGGGCTTTCCTTTAATCATTGTCTTAAAATAAAACCAAACACCAACCAGCCACAGAAATGACAATGCTAAAAAAAACCAAGCATGAAATTCAATAAGGAAGTTTAAAGCCTTGTTTAAAAATTTCCACAGTGGTCCTGTAAAATGTAGTTGTTACCCTCCAGAATATTTAGAACAGCAGTTTCTATCTTTAACAAAATTGAGTACTATTTAGTCTCCAGGGGGGTGTGCTGCTACCAACAGCTTTGAAACCTTTCAAAGGAACTTCTCAAATGTGGGGTGCTTGTTGCATGTTTTGAGAAAAGAGGGATAACAGATCAGGCTATTTTCTACATTTTCGAAATGTTCGAACCAAAAAGTTGTGATTTCCCCCTCCACACTCCTCCCCCAAGGAGGGGAACTGTAACTCAACCCACTTGTTGGCTCTTCTCCACTGAATACAGATCATATGGTGAAAATCTTACTGAAAGGGAAGTTGTCATTTATTATAAACACATTTCTCTGAAGGGAGTAACTGGTGAACCGTAGACACCTGGATGTACTGAGTGCGTGACTAAACACGTCTCTGTGTGCCTGCATACAAATTTTAGGTACTGTAAAGATCACACAGCAAGCCTAAATAATCTACTGTATCATTTTGGGGATCAGCATTCCCCAGAGGAGATTTTACAAGATGAAACTGGCTGCTGCTTCCATCTGCACTCTGTGCATGTGTTTTAGAGTGCCTTCTCCAGGCTGATCTCTCCAAGTGGCAGCCAGATGTGGCTTTGAACTACTCCCCTGTTCTTTCTCTCCTTTGGTTTCAACTCTTGTGAATAAACACATGGTTCAAAGTTTGGGAGTCCCATGCTGCCAGGCTTCAGTGCTGGTGTATGAGGTCCAATTCCTGCCGAGAAGATGCCACCTCCAGTGCTGTTCAGGAGAGCTGTCAGTGCTGGCACCTGCAGCGGCAGCCAGGGCTTGATGCTGGCATGTGAGCAGGCTGCTTTGGTAGGGATAGAGCAAACCAGTGTGGGCACCCGTGAAAGTGCTGTGGGCAGCATCCCTAGCAAAAGCAGTAAAATAACTGAGTGGCCTGAGCCTCTGATGTTAGACACAGATGGGCTATATTGGATTCTGAATCTGATTTTTGCTTTCAATTTAAAATAATGTTGCTACAGCTGCTTTTTTCTTTTTTCTTCTTCTTTTTTTTTTTTTTTTTTTTTTTTGTCCCTTTTTAAATCACGAAGGGCTGCACAGAAGAACAGAGATTCTTTTTACTGAAGTTGGCATCACCCTTTCCCCCCTGCTTTTCTACGTGATTTTATACAACAACCACAGCTGACTTTCACGTGAACTGGACAGAAACAGGAAGAAATTCTGTCTCTGGCATTATTAGCTGAGTTCTTGGCATGGGAAAATAAGAGAGTGTGCAGACCGCTAACACAGGGAGTATTTCTTGAGATGAGTTTGAACAGGGGCAGCATCTGATGAAGTGGAAAAATGAGCTTTTCTGTTCCAAAGGTTTCATACTTTCTAGGGCAAGGCAGGAAGTGCTCTTTTCCAGAGAGAAAGGAAATAGGAGGGAGGCTGGTGAAGTGATATGCATGCTGACAGAGGAATAAAAAACAAATAATACTTCCAAGAAATATTATAGACCCCAAAGTATATCTGTGTGGATTTTTTTAAATAGAACTGATTTACTCACTTTGATGCTATTAAAATGCAATAGATGACCACATCAAAACTTGTGATCTGAAAGAACAACCTTCTTCCCCTTGTTGTTTCTTCTTGTGTTTAATTTTATGTTCAGTTATGTGTTTTTACCAGAGAAGATAGAATATGAGCTTTGTAAGCAAGGACCGTCTATGCAGGAAGTTGTCAGCAATTGCAGTAATTGTCATAATTGCAGTAGCTGTCAGTAATACAGTATTCCTAGAAACCTTTATCAACTGGATGCTTCTTTGCCTATCCAGTATCATTCCATTACTTGTTTGTCCAGTGAATTCTCCAATTCTCCAAAGACATATTTTGCCATGGCTGAAGTGATGCTGAATGCTTTTATTTGTCATTAAAGCTGCTAGGCATTGAGGTTGCTTGGTCTGTAGCTAATGCAGGTCTTTAGGCTGCTATAAATCTTGGGGCATCAGCAAAGTCAGCCTGCACCAATGGGAAACAGTGATATATTCTCATTGATCCCTTTTCTGAATAGTTAGCCATTTCATAAAAAATGTCTAGATACACAGCAGTATTGGCTCCCTGGGTTAGTAGCTAATTATAAAATGCCCTGCAGTTCTCTTTTAAAGAAAAATGAATTTAAAGTATTTATTATTTTTTGTGCAAGGTACGAGTTTAAAGTGCTCTCGCTTTCAGAGGAGACTTGAGAGCCCTGCAGAGACTTGCAGAGGCAGCACAGCCTGTGCTGTGGGGCAGGCAGCTGTGAAGGGGCGTAGGTCCCATCACCTGGATAGGAGCCCAGGGCAGGGTCTGAGACAGTATCTTGTGTTCCTTTGTGCATTTCAGATTTTATTGTCATTTGAAGCAGCAGCCTTTTCCTTGGCTTTTGTGGGATTGGGATCAGGTACAGTGTGATTTTCTCAGTGGTGATTGAAGCATAGGAAGAAGTGATTCTGTGCCCAGTGTCTAGCCAGGACATGTTGCAGGTGCTGGATGTCCCTTTGTCAGGATGCTTATAAATAAGAGTGGGTCAGTCACTTAGGCTCTTGCTTTGTCAGAGAAAACCCCACCTGCTGTGAGAGAAGATTTTCTAGTGGTTGGTGAGGAGAATATTCCCTGGGGTTCTTTCCTGCTCAGCAGAAGGGTGAATGTTATCTGGAGCATCATGTTCCATCTCTGATTTTCTTTCAAATATTGTACCTTTTGGTTGCCTTGTGAACTCCTGGTCCTGACCTGTTTCTATGTGTGGGGTTTTTTTACCTGTCTTTGTGCCTGGCTTTCTACCTCTCCCTAGGTTCTCTGGTCCTTTCTGTCATGCTTTTTAATCACCTTGTTATCTTCATGCTTCTCTCCTTTGAATTAATGAGTTTTGCATATCTTGTTGCTCTCATACTTCTACATTCTCTTTACCAAAACCAAGCTGTTTTAAGAAGACTAATAATAATTTCTAAATAAAAACCAAAGAATAATCAGTCTCTCTTGCAGATTTCCCATGACTTCAGTGCATTTAAAATGCGCACAGAGGTATTCTATGCTATACTTTCTATTTTTGAAGGATGTAGCTTCTAACTCTGCAGGTGAGAACAATAAATAATTTTTTCATTTATCCTGGTGATAAATATAATGGTTATCCATTTGGGAGCATTTGGAGGCCACCAGCAGTAGCTGCAGCTGTCTCCCAGCTTGTGTTTCTTTGCTGTGTTTAAGACTGATTATATTTTTAATCATTGATAGGAAGTGGGTTTGTTTACTCAAGATTTTATTGTTTGTGATTTATGGATTTGATGAAAAGGTTTCTGAAGGAGGGTCTCTCCATACATGTGTAGAACTTCACTAAAATTCCCTCCACAGTGCTCAGACACACAACATCAACATAATTTTCTCTGTAACTGTAGGAAGGAAAATGAAAACAAGTTAATATTGCTGAATGCAGCTTAAAGGTAACAGGATGCATCTCAGTGTACTTACTGATGCTGGATTTTGTCCATGACTCCAAGCCGATAGACTACTGAATCCCAAAATTTTATGGTTTCTTTAATGATCATAAGTAATTGGGAGATTTTGTATTTGCATTTTATCTCGGAGGCAAGTGTTAGAAATAGGTGTAACAAACTGTCACATAATCCAGCTTAGAAGAATGCAGCCTTTCCAGCTGCATGGATGCCTCACTGGCTGGAGGGTTTTTCTGCACATTAAAAAAACCCAAAACAAAACCAAAACACCACCTGTCAAGAGCATATGAAAAGACTTCAGTGTCTTTAATCTCTTAACTGTCTTAAACTCTGTTTTAGGGACTATGTGGTAGAAATAATTGGATTTTTTCCTCCTAAATTCACACTAAAGTGTTGCAAGAACCACAATACAAAGCTGTTTTTACATTGATACAAGTTGCTTGTGAACCTCTGGTGTTATTTTTAAACTGGAGGTGAAAACGTTCTATTAAGTGTGTGCTCCAATAGCGTTTCCTTTGGCTTGACTTTTCCTTTTAGTGCCAAGATGTTTCATTGATGCGTGTTTCAAATGCACGTCAACTTTCTGTCAAAGACTGTGGTGAGAAGGAGAAACAATAGATTTTACAGGGTTACAGATCTTCCATCTTGCAGTTATGGGAAATTTTTTTATATCCTATATTTTATTTTTTCTTCCTGTCTTTTTTAGGCTTATTTGGATGGAAAAAAGCTGGAGAAGTGCAGTGTGTGTATATGTAACATAATAGAGACAAAAGTCAGTATTCGATGGAGAACCAATTTAACGTCTTTTATCTGCAGTGTAGTCACCTTTGTACCTTTGCATTGCCCTGGCTTTGCAAACAGTAAGAACAGCCCTTAGGTCAAGCCTCAAATCTTCAAAAATACTTTTTTAAGTGATCAATTTTTTTTTTTAATGTAGTAGAAGTGCAATTTTTATTCTTCAGAAAGCAGCTAGTTTTCTATCTAAATACTTGGCTTGTCTTTGCTTTTCTTCCATAAAGTCTTGCTGACTCACAATGCTGATGTATTTGTAATTTTATTTTCATCTGCAGGATAAAATTTTTACATAACATGCAACTACAAATTAACTTACCTGCGACATACATTTGTTTTGTTATATGGTTATCTCTTTGCAAATTTTAGGCCTGACTATGACTAAACTTAAGTGATGCAGAAAAATCATTGATTTTGTGGGAATTTGGGTATTTCCCAGCTTCTTTATGTAAATTGAGAAATGGCCTTACTAACTGCTTCAAAAATAAGTACTACAACAAGCGTATATGAATTTTGGTTTTGTCTGCATTTCATTTTACTTCTTGTTTTTAATTAACAGCAGTACTAATGGCTTATTTTGCAAATACAGAAAACAAAAAAAGATTAGGGGATTGACTTACTTTTCTATAGCAATACAAAATCCTGGTCTGATTTTGATGAGTGCATAGCACCCCCCTTCATAGTAAGGGATTATCCATTTACTTTTAGAAATTCAGGTAAATCTCCTTTATGATGCCACCAGGTGTGCCTAAGAATCCCTGAACTTAAGGCTGTCCTTTAGCTCCCCATCACTCTCTTCCCATGGATGCCCATAATATTTGAACTCTTCTCCACTCCTTCAACTCAAGCTCTGTTTGCTCTGACTAGCACAGAGTGTGAAAAGGAAGAAAAGGGGAAGATAAGGGTGTTTTTTAGCAAGCAGAACTTCCATGAGCCTGAAATTGTATTGGAATTACTCTGGAGGTGTGTTGGTTGGGGCTGCTGCCTCTGCCTGTGGTGGGGGCCTGGCACTTGTCCCCCTTGGCATGATGCTCAGTTCTGCCCCGAGGTGATGTCTTTCCTGGCAGCCCCCCTTCACATGTAGAGAGGATGTGATGTAGAGGACTGGAAGAAACTTTTTTTGGAGGATGAGGGCAAGTCTGAGAGAGTCTGTGCTCAAGGGTGATAATTTGTCAGGGAGATTCGTGTGACAATGAGAAATCAGAAAATATGAGTGGGTGTGGGAAAGGAGAGCAATCCAACAACAGGAAGGAGGAGATGGAGACTGGGCACAGGGCAAAGGTAAGAGTATAGGAGGAGTTATGTTTTCCAGATGTGGGCAGTAAGCGTACATTGCCATGGCAGTACTGTTGTCTAGGTCTGGAAGAGGACATGATTTTTCTGATTCTCATTGCTACTGAGCTTCTATCTAACTTGAAATCTCATGACAGAGAGCATCTTCTCTTTGCAGTGGTGATCCACCAAGAGAATGACAACAATTTCAGTAATTTCATTAGCCCAGATGGCAAATGAGTAAGTTCCCACTGTGCCAGTGAACCTCAGCAGCATAGTAGGATGGTCAGTGAGGACATTTTGAGCTTGCAATTTGTTACTAGAAATGATTAATTGCAAACACTCACATGGAGAGGGAACTTCACGTGTTAGAGTTATGTATGAAGGATATCTCAGTTGCCAGAATGAGTGATCTGTAAAGGCTGAATTTACTTCCTTTTTCTAGAGCAGAGCTTCTGATAATACAGGCATGCGCTGCAAATTCCTACCCCTTAAATAAGCAGAAGGATTTTCTCAGGACCAGTTTGGGTACTGTGCTACAGCTTTGTGATAGCTGCTGCCTTTTCAACCCAGTCCAAGGATCAGAAACTGGAAAACATGGAGCAAAGGAGGGAATTTCAGGGTGGCAGAGGAATGCTTGGCAGTCTGGACTGTCACAGGCTGCCTTGAAGGATGAGTCATGCAGGATTCAAAGTGACAAGCATTCAAGTACTTATGGATTTAGTGTTTTAGCTTGTAATGTTAAATACAGAGTCAGGGTGGACATCTGTTAGGCTATCAAAACTTGCTGTGTTCAGGCAAAGCTGCTGCTTAAGAATCTGGCCAGAGTGATTGTGAAAAAAAGAAAAAAATGCCTTAAAGACATGGAAAATTAGCTTAGGCAATCAATAATGAAGCATCTTTGAAGTTTCTAAAACCATGGAGATTAATTTTCTAACAGAAGAGCATTTCTGTGCCTCTTGTGACAATACCTGGTATTGCAAGATAACTTTTAAGATAACTTTTTATCCTTTGATCAAATTTTAATAACACTGGGGGTAGGCACATAAGCCTAACAGGCTGTCAGGTCTCCAGAACTTCTCTGGGCAACCTATTCCAGTGTTTGACCTCTCTTGGAGTAAAGTTGACTTAAGATGTTTCAGTAGGTATCCACCACCCCTTGTCCTGCCAGTGGGCACCAGGGAGAAGAGCTGAGCTGCAGCTGCTTTCCAGTGGAATTGTGCCATTCACACTGCAGGTTTCAGCTCACTGAATTTAATAGGTGCTGCTGTTTCCCCTTTCAGTGGTGATTCAGGTTCAGTCTTGTCACTTTTAACTCCCCTCCATCTCCTGTATTGCCAGAGAATGCTTACACCATTTGGAAAGGTTTCTATATTGTCAAACAAGTGGCAAGATTTCAAGGGCAGGTACAGAATTTTTGGATTCCATGAAAAAGCACTGCTTTGATACTCATTTAATCTAAACATCTGAAAAGTTACTTGATTTCTTTGTAAAAAAATTAGTAATACCAACTTTTAGAATTACTATTTTAAAGGAGTCCTATCTTTCAGTGTTGTAGTTTTCTTTTTAAATTGTGGCTTTTTGAGTTGCTTTTTGGAGCTGCATATTGATGGTATGCAAAGGCAAAATAATTTTGTACTGACACAGGTTAACACATCCTGTGTGAGAAGTCTTTTTTTTTTTTGTGAAGATCTCATTAACTTTAATCCAGATACTACTTCACTTAATTAAAAAACACAGACAAGCATTTATTTCCAAGCAAAGTCATGTGTCATGCAGTGTATCAGGGTCATGACATGAATGCAGGTGGACTCCATCCTGTGAGGTGCTGGCACTTAGGTCTTCCCTCAGCAGAGCACTTTATTTTGTGCCAGGCTGTGATTATTAAGTAGCACACACTGCTATGCTTTGCTTGAGAGTGGCCGGACACTCAGCACCCCGCTGTATTGAGCCAAGAATGTGCTGCATATTAGAGGGGAAAAAATGGCATTGTACTCTAAAAATATTACCTTTTTGCAGGTCATATTTCCTCTCCCTATTCCCTTTCAGGTCTCTCTGGTACCTGATATTATTCAGTGCTGGTAGATAGAGAGGTTTGCTGGACAAGTGCAATGCTTTTATAGAAAGAGTCATTCTGAGATTTCAGATTGCTCAAAGCTTTTTCCCTTCACTGCACTTATTGAGGGGAAGAGAATCTAAATGTATGAGGGCAGAAATAATTTCCCTTTTCTTTAACAATTGCACCCATGATGTCAGCTGCTGCTAGTAATGTAGAGTGATAAATTGACATTGAACTTGAACAGAATTCATGGCGTGCTGTAGACAATAAGAACCTCTGAGGAAATAATTATTTTGCTGCCAGGAGCTCATGCATCTCAAATTGGTTGGTGTGGGGACTTTAGAGCAGCCTGCCTGCCTATTGACTGGAGTTGAGAGCTAGTGCTGCCAGCTCTGTGTTAGTGCAGGAACTCGGGCTTTGTGGTTTGCTCATAGCATGTCAGAAAAAAGAAAAGAGAGTGACAAAGGTCTGATGTTGCCCACTTTTGCTTGCTTGCTTGCAGGGAGAGCCAGTGGGTGTTGAAAACCAAGTTCACTAATATGTTTTTTCCTGTGAATGTAGGACTTTGATACTCTCACAGCAGTACTTAACTGCAGACACTTGGTTATAGCACGATTCCTAATGAGTGGGAGATCAGTTGCACACAGCAGCCGCTAGAATTCAATTTAGCGTTCATGGGCTCAGTCGATTTGGGGAGGACTGGGTCCCTCTGATCAGTGACAGTTGTTACCAATTGGGGTCACGATAATTAAATTTCCCATGAAAGTAATTAGTTTGCATTGTACACAACACTTTGCTGGGTGTTTTTTTGTTTTGTTTGGGGCGTGGCAGTTCTAACTAAAAAGCCCAATCACCCTGTTCTCCTCCCCTCATTAAAGTCAGTTTGAATGTTGAGGATGCTCCATGATGGCCTATAATTAAGGTCTTACTCTTCATTAGAATAAAATATAAATTACAATCTGGCACTGAATTCCTGTTGACTTTCACTGAGAGTCAGGCATCTTGATGTCTTTTCTGACTTTGAAAATTTTACTCTTTATTCGAAGAATAAAGAATGCAGAGAAATAATCTTTCAGTATGTATTTCAGTTTTCCTAAAAGTATTAGTACCTGCATGGGATGAGAAAAGATAACTTCCCAAAGTTTGTAGCTTTCTTATGTCTCAAAGAGACTTTTCATTTGAACTTTGACCTCTTGATTCAGGCTATGTTAATTGTACAGGCCATAAGGTTTTGGAAGGTTATAAATTAGTGTACTTAATCCCTATCTAAATAGCAAACTTACAATATACAAGCTTGCATTTTCAAAGAATAGTTTGGGTCAGAAGGGGTCTCTAAAGGCACCATCTGGTCCAACCCACCTGCAATGAGCAGGATACCTCACTTTATTTTGAGCTGCTCTTAGAGCATGGATCCTTGGTGTCATCTTAGCTCCTGATTTGGGCTTGGCTTCAACTTAAAAACCTCCAAAATGTGGGACAAGTAAAATAAAATTTTAATCTGTGAAAAGCAACATCATGCTTTCAATAACAATAACTTTTAATAACAGTTAGTGTTACAGCTCTGTGTTTTTCCAGTGGGCAATTTTTAACAATGAAATTTTCAGACATCCAGTGTGGTGTGAAACAGCAGCTTGGACAATAAGCTTGATGTCATCTGTTGAAATGTGGTTGAAAGCTATATCTGAACTACCAAAGAGTCGTCTTCTCTGATATTTATTACTTTGATAGTCATAGTTTTTCAGTGATGCATCTCTGGTTATATTTGGTTTATTTGGTTCCCTCAGTTCTGGTGTTACACTGGTTAGAAATAACTTTTTTTTAGGCATGTACCAGTATAAAATCAAGTGTCATTGATATATTGAGCAGTGGTGCTATTGCTGTGACAATAGAGGCTAGTGTCTGAAGCAACAAAAAAAGTCTTCTAGTAATATCTGGATGAGAAGAGTACCGTATATTTAATCTCTGACCTGTCTCAGTTCTTTGCTTTGTTTTATGCTTTCAGAGAAAAATCCTGTTTTAAGTATCTTTCTTCCCCTTCTTCATGGTACTGGAAGAAGGGGAAGAAAGATACTTAAAGTACTTACTGGTACTTTAAAAATGGAGATGTTTCATAGTTTGCTTACCAAGATAGATGGTATAGCTAAACGAAATAGTAAAATGTAAAAAAAACCAAAATTACTAGTACCTCATGTGCAGTGAGCTTGTTTGGTTACATGCTGTTGAGGTAATGTGAGCTGGCTTGCTGTAATCTAGAATTTGATGTTGAGACACAAAGGCATAAATAAAAAGGTTAAAAATCTGCAATACTTTCACCCAACAGAGGTGGCCTATAGTACTCTTTTTAGGGGAGTTTTGGCCAGTCACTGGGGGAAGAAGGCTTTGATGCTGCCTGTGCTGCAGGGCAGCACTTCTTCTGTCACTAAAAGTTTTAGTGTGTCCCATCAATTTTTTCAGCTGAAGCAACAGTTCATAAAGTGATCTCTTAGTACTACTTGGAAGTCTGTGCAGTATGTAGTGGCTTAATTTTTATGTATACAGCTTCATGCAAACACCCTGGGGGGAATTCAAAACAGGAGAGTTTTAGTCACCAGAGGATAATAAGCAGAGAAAATAAGGGCTTAAGTATTGTGTACATCTCTTTTCCTTTTAGCAGGATCCCATGTAATGCCAAAGGCATAAAATGGTCCATAAAATGGAAAGGTGAAAGGATTCCTTGTGCTATATAATTACTAGACCTTAGCTCCTGTTCACTTACTCCCATTGTAGGAATGCTTTGGCTCTGGTTCCCTGCACATGTTCTTTAATGAATTGCTGGCATTTATACTGAAGACAAAAAAGGAGAACATTATCCTTTAAAACTTTTCTTCTATTTTCATTTAATTAGTGCTATTTACAGATGCAGAGAAAAAAAATTAAAAATCCAAATCTGCTAGTTTTTCCTTTTCTGGTGTGGTAATAAATGTCTGGGATGAAAGGCACTAACTACAGTGATGCTGGTAGGAAATTATTTGTTGGTTAGTTGACTGTCTTTGGTTATCTGTTCTTTAGACTTTGAGATTAAATTTCTCTGTAGTCTCACTGGTGACAGGATTATAAAGAGTTTTTGCATGCTCTATTGTACTGACCTATAATTTTGTGCTGTGGCTGCTGTGTTTCTGAGGAAGCAGGAGTGGGCTGGATTCTCCTCGTTTTTGCAGGAGAGAGACAGCATGTGCTAATATTCAGTTCTTTTTTTTTCTGTATCAATCAACAAGTGCCAGCAACACAGATAAATAAATGAAAATGTGTCCAAAGACCTGGCTGGTCTTGTGTTGCAAATAAATTCCAGTTCATCAGAATTTTTTTTTTTTTTTTTCAGCAAGAATCCGAGTGCTGTGATTATTACTCAGGCCACCCAGTTATCTGAGAGACACCTCTTTTTGGCTTCTTGAAACCTCCTTACCTGCAGCAACCTGACCTCACCCCTTTCCTGGACTGGAGCCAGCCTTATCTTTTCCTCACATTTGCTGTTGTTTTACTAGGGGCAGTTTTGATCAGCTGGAGAGACTGCCCATGAGCAGCAGCTCTCAGTCTCTGCTTTGGGGTTTAATCTCTGTAGGCCTGTATGTGCAGTTTAGGTGTATTTTGGAAGTGCAGCGTTTATTGGTGGTGCCACTAGGTGAAACTACCTCTTCTGCTCGAATCTTCTTGTTTGTTTTTCAAAGATTTTTTCCTTTATGATGCAGAAAATGTCTTCACCATAATACTGTTTGTGTGCTTTTTCCATAGAGGAATGCAGATGAAATTTAACACTAGGGTTGTTCCTATTTCCCAGCTAGGGACTTTGAAACCTGCTTCATTCTTTTCATCAGTTCTGGGCAGAAATTTCATTTTGAGTAACCAGTAGAGATTGCTATTCATCTGGGAAAGAGAAAGAAAGCCAGACACAAACCAGGTTTGATGTGGATCCTGTGTGTCAACAGTGTGTCAACAGCTCTCAGAGTGTTGTGTGTCAAGACTCTAGGAGAAACAGCAGCACAAGGTTAGAGTTAGAAAAAAGGAAGGTGGCCACTGAAGTAACATGCACGGGAAATGGCAGAATTAGCACTAGGCAGTTCAGAATGTTGAATGAGGGAAACTTAATGATTATAACAAAGCAAAAAGTCAGTGTATTATTTTGATCACAGAAGATAAATCACCTAGTCAGCTCTCCTTTACAGTTAATGTGGGTTATTTTTGCTCCTGGATCTGTGGGCCTCCAATTTATATTAAGATTGAAGAGCATTAATCATACTTATTTGCACAGACTTTATCCCTGAACAGATTCTGGTCAATGAAATTTTGCCCCATTTCTAATTTAAATAATGACTGTGCTGCATTTAGGTTTTGTTAGGGGAAGAGCATTATAATAGCTGAAGTTTTGTGTGGTTTTGGGCAGGCTAGAGTGACCTGAAGGCTTTTGTGTAGTTGACTGTGATTTACAGCATAGAAGAAACAAGTGGCTTGTGCTGCCAATTCAGAAGATGCCAGAAGTAAATTTTGGTAGGGAACCTGGTCACGTAACTTATGTGGGTTACAATAGTATAAACTAGTGATTGGTTTTTGCCTATATCTAGTGGCATAGGGAGTTCTATTCTTGTCTTCTCTTTAGTACAATGCAGCTCAAATCCAAAGCAGTGTTCAGCTACCAGGAAGCACAGGTGAATAATATCTCTGGGTCACTCTTCAGGAGATAATGACAATTTTACCTGTGTTTAAACTGGAGCAGACCAGCAGGTGGTATATCCATAGCTGCTGCTTCATTGCCATGCCAGCAGTTAACAGCTGCTCTTGGTGGCTCAGACAGCATATCATCTGAGGTATATTAAGTGCTGTACTTTAAGCTGACTATCAGGGGTACAGCAGACAGATGTCTGTGTCAAGGTGTCCACTGGTTAATGTACATTGTTATGAGTGGTTTATAATGTAAAGGAGTAGGGTACCTAATGCCTATTGAGATGCATGTAAATGGTTACATGGATCCCTGATGCTGTTCTGAATATTCTGTTACGTGCATTTTGGCTGAAGTGTGGGAAATGCATTTTTGGATTTTTTTAATAGGAGGTTAATCGACGTGCGTGTAGGCTGTGTGCCGTGTAGGCAATTTATGTCTCAAACTTCACTGCAACCAGTATTTTCTCTCAGGCCAGTAGTATCTCGAGACAGCATGCTTTTCTTTACATTTATGTCATTTTTTTGTTAAGCAAAGTTTGCCTAGTGTTATCAGTAACAATATTTATTAGTGAGTTTTTCCTTGCCTGACAATTTACTTACTTGGAGGTAAAACAATTTTCTGTGTTGTCATTCTATTTCTACAGCTTTAGCCTCTTTTCTGACTCTTAAATCAAGCCTGAGATTGTATTTTTGCTTAGCTTTCTCTTTGTATAGATGTATTTTAGCAGAGACCCATTAAATGAATTTGAGTTTTGCACAGGGACACATATACATATATACTCATGAAAAGAGTTTTCTGTTAATGTGTGTTCTTGTAGACAGTGAAACTTAATTAGTCATCACAACTTCCCAAAATCTGGTTAGATTAGTTATGGCTATGTGCTATTTAAAAGTGAGTGTCTACAGTTTTCTGTCTTTTTGAGTTATTGTAGTCTAGCTAAAAATTAATCTGAGAATATACACCTATGTTCAACACTGATTCTAATGAAACAGTATGATTGCATGTGTTGTTATTAATATCTATTTACACATTCAAAGGTTTAAAATTTTAATTATATTTATGAAGATGTTATATGCAGTTCCTTATTAAGATATAGAGTGTTACTAGACCTCAAATGCTTCAGGTATATACCAAAGTCTCCAGTTGCTAAGAGGAGCCTGTTAGCTGCTTGCTAGCTTAGAACTGGGATCATCTGGCAAATATATTGAAACATAAAAGTCGGGAAAAGATGCTGACCGTAGATAAGGAGCTAAGTGCTGAGATCTGGCTCCTGCTCACTTTACCCCATTTGTGCATAGGAAATGTCTTGCAGTGTTGAGTTTTTCTAATAAGAGCATTGGCTAATTCAAAGCTCGGCAGATCCTGAGCATTCGAGAAATCTTGACCCAGAGGTTTTCTTCTACCCTTTTCTTTCTACCCTTTTTCATGTAACCTGTAAAGGGACGTTCTGGGATTTTTTACTGGCTGTTGAAATTATCACTTTGAGTTCAAAAGATTTCTTAGCAATTCAGAATGTTGTAGATTGACATTTGTCAGGGCAGGACCAAAAGGAGAGACAAAATCCTGGGCTGCAGCAGATAATAGGTAGAAAGAGGTTAAGCTCTGCCCTCTATCCAGTTTTATTAGCTCCCTTGATAACTCAAGGGCAGCTGAAGACATAACATTTTTGAAACATCACATCCTTGGAATGGGTACCTGTGTAAGCCCCACAGCACTAACTTAAAAGTTCACCAACGTGTTGAGAAAAAATGGACAAAGGTTTGAAATGTATCATAATTGAACAAGCACTTCTAAGTGCCAACCTAGTTAAATTACAGGAATTTGCACTAATTAATGCAGCTGTTATTAATACAGCTGTACTAGTGCCATAATTAGTATCTCTTTCAGCCATGGCTTGTGTTATGGAAACAAAATACTGTGTAGTAGAATTCTGTTCACATTGGATGCTTTGATTTAGCAGTTGTTTGAGGGTTTTTTTTTTTAGCTGATGATAGGAAGCTCTAATAGGAAGGAATCCAAAAGCCCTTTTAATAACCATCATAATTTTAAGCATTGTTACTGGATCTATTGCCTTCAGTAGAATTACTGTTTTGGTGTTTTCCTAGATTGAGCCTGGGTTAACTGGAGTATCTGGTAGATAGGCAGTGTACCTGTTGCATGCAATTGGGAAGCAATCGCTAGAATAAGTAAGTCCTGCAAATCTGGTAAACACCAGAGTGGCCAGGAAGTAGGTATGGCTAGTTTGCTATGAACAGTGTTCATGGATTTGGGGATAAATTTTCTGGCTCTTTTTCCTGTGCTGTAGTTGAAGGCTGACACTTAGCACCTTTCCTTACCCTGTTGTGCAGTATCACCATGCCTGTGCTTTGAGTCTGACTGTGAATCACATGCCAAAATAAGCAAGGGAATAGAAGAATTGCAAACCCAAATGCCCTACTGCAAGCCAGAGCTGGGTACTTTTAATGGAATATTTTTCTATTTGTGTTCTTTGTCTTTTGCTGAGGCACCTCAGTGTCAGGTAGAGGATGCAAACAAGTTAACTCTGTATAAATGTGATAATATGGCATTATACTCTTGCTAAAGCATTTTTAAAGAATTTTTTTTTTTTTGACTGGAGTTCTCAGTTTTGCCAGGCTCAGCTTATATCTCCTTCTCACTCTCCCTCAGAAATGGTGTATACAGGAAATAGCAAAATAGACTAATCAAAGAAAGTCTGAGGAAGGTAGCCCCGCCCTGGTGGGGAACTCCCAGCTGTCCTGGCTCTCACTGTGCCATGACAGTGGGGAGAATATGCTTCTTCATTTCCTGAAGTATGACTCTCCTAAGAGACAACTTACTGATTACGTAGTCTTACAGGCCATAAAGCACTTGTTTTTCATTAACTACCTTGCCCTAGCACTACTTTTGCAGTGTTTAAGGTATTTTTTGCCCCAGGGAATATTTTATTATTTAGACCATGTCCGTTGTTGAAGAAATTAGAAAACTCGTGGTTGTGGTGGTGGTCTGAGTCCTTACTAGTACATGGATATGCCTCTGAGCTATTGTTCTGTCTAACTTCCACAGATGTCAGTAGTATCTGAAAGACAACTTTTGTACTCTGCTGCAATAAGATTTTAAAATAAGGAGCCCTTTGTCATAAAACTCAAAAAAAGTATTGAGATACAATTTATAATTAGCTTTTTTTCTGTAGCTGCCAGTGCAAGTACTCACACGAGTCCTTTTTTTAATCCAAGACATAAATGAAATCAGAAAATTGCCATGGATGCTTAGTTTCCTTGTTTGCTATAATGAAATAGTTTGTGCTGGTTTTCTTTTTTTTCTTTTGTCTTGGAGATCTATTAGGGTACAGCTTAAAGTCATTTTCTGCATGTTGTAGTAAAATTGCCAAAGCAGATGAAAGTATATTATAGAGACAGCAGTGCAATGAAAAATTCAGTTTTCTCATGAATTGTTATTCATCACAGGAGTAATTTAGAATCTCCAGGTATAATATTGGTAATTTTGCATGTATCTTTGAGATTCACCTTGGGTTCTAACTCAAAAACACAGGAAGCTTTAATTAATTAATTGATTTCCTTGATGGCATTAGTCCATGCTTCATTTCTGGTCAGATAACACAATAATGATGTGACTTTTTCATCCATAAAACCTTGTAGATGTGCACTGAACATCTGCACATAATGAATTCATTCATGCAGAAAAAGATAATTGACTTATTTATCATGCTAGATTTGCAAGAATTTCTCATTTCCTACAGGCAGCTTCAGATGTTTGTTGCCATTGAGGGCAAAACTCCACATTCTGTTCATCTAGTGAGCAAGGTACGGGATGGATCCTTAGAAAATGTCCATCTCGGTTTTTAGATCATCAGGTAAATATTTGTATAGTGAAATGAAAGAAGGTCAAGTGTTTTTTGCTGTTATTTGCTGAATTATTTTGACAGCCACCAAGTGCTGCCAGTGCCCCCTGAATGCAGCAGGTGTGACGTGGGCTGAGGTGAAGACACCCACCCTGAGTGCAACAGTTTGTGCTGGGCCAGAGCTTTCAGCCTGTGTGGTCTGCAAAGCCTTGGGAGCAATGGCTGAGCTGTTTACCAGTATGGGCTCAATTCAATTACCTAAACATATAATGGCTTTTGAGATGAGCTGTGGAGCGTCTGGGACATCTTCATGGACAGGTAGGTGCTGTACAGGCTTGTAGGAGATCTGATCCATGCCCTTCTGGACAGGCAGCTGGGAGCTGGGAGGGGTATTCTAGGGCATAGGACACTAGAATTTTGCCTGCCTGTCTATGTGCAGTGTTGGTGACATGTGGGTTGTGCCTTAGGTGTTGACTTAAACATTAATTGAATCATTGTGCTCTGATTGTATTGACTGGATGTACATGGATCATAATGGTAGTGTGCACAGCTGGGGCATCCCTGGACACCTCTGCATAAACCCCTAAATGGGGGCATCTTGCTGCCTGCCCACCTTCAGGTTTGCAGGGCAACGTAGGGAAGGATTGAAATGGATATGTGTGCGTTATCACACCTGTGACATTTTAATTTATTCATGCCAGAGAGGGTTCTGGAGTCAAGGAGAGAGAGTATGCTGAAATTTGTGTCAGAGGGTCTTCATGGATAGAATTAATCTTTCAGAGAGAAATAGGGCAGTGTTTGAATACAGCCTCCATGCAATGGATCTGGGTATGTGAGAATGTGGAGGTTTTCCAAATACTGACTGAGGAATGTTGAAAGTGACCAGGGCATGGTTACCTCTGTTAACACTGACTCCTGAACAGGAACAGATTAAATAGAAGCATATAATCTAGTCTGTTCTAAGGATGTGTGTGAGGGTGGTGAGGCACTGGAACAGGTTGCCATGAGAAGCTGTAGATGCCCCGTCCCTGGAAATGTTTAAAGCCAGGTTGAGCACTGCTTTAGGATGCTCTCCTGGCTTCCTCCGTCCTTCCCATGTGTCTTTTACATGCCCTGTGGCTTGGAAGGCTTTTCCCAGGTTAGCATGCCCACTGCTTCTGGGGAAGGAACAGTTTTTCGCTCCCACTAGTGACTTCCACCCCCTGCAGTATGCACAGCTGGGAACAGGCAGGCAGAGATCCTCCCTTCCTGCATCCCACTTGCATAGAACAGAGCAACCTTATAATGTACTCCCTCGAGAAACTAAATAAATAAAACTGATAGCATTCATCCCAGACTTACTGAGATGGATGGAAAGGGAGGAAGCAATGGAGAAGTTGTGGTGCTTTATAGAGAGGTGTACCAAGAATCATTAGACAAGACTCTGGCATTGAAGTAGCTGGAGGAGAGTGGATGGTGTGAATTTGGATGTTGTGTTGAGTGGAAATGTTGAAAGTCATAAATGAGCCAAGGGACATGGAGATTAAGCCAAAGCCTTGAATTTGAAGGAATTGCTGGAGACTTCAGTGACAGCAAAACCAATAAAAGGGACATCCATGAAATTACTGGGAACAGCAGATGAAATCCGAAGAGTGAAATGCAGTTTTTTCACTGCTGAATTTACCTTACAAATGACCGGAGGAAGGAATCCGAGAAGCAGCTAAGAAGGGTGATTAGGATCAAATGCAGGGTTTTGGGGAAGGTAGGAGGTCCCAGCAGACTGTCACTTTAAATGCAGCTCCTCTGGATATATTGAATCAGTCTGCTAATGCCTTCACTTAGCTGGCAGCAAAGTTCCTAGTTTTAGGATTGTATTTCTCCACCACTTGTTAACAAAAGTCCATTCCCGCTGGGTATCAATAGCTTTTATTGAAGTCTATGTCTCAGGAGACTGGACCCAGAAAGGACAAGGGAAAGGCATCCCTCTGCTCTGACAGAGATGCCTTGGAGGGAGAGATGAATAACACAAACCTTGGCACTGTGACAGAACTAAGAAAGGTGGAAATTATTTTCTTCTTGCTACATAGTCTTTTTTTTAATCTTAATTGCACCAGTTTGTTAAATCTAGTCTGGAAGCGGAGAATTTCTCTGTCACAAAGAGTTTTGTTATTGTAGGATTTTGAATATATAGGTAATCTATTTGTGTAATTTCTGTTTGTGTGCTGCACTGAAAGCAGCTGTAACCTTTTTTCAAAATCCGTGGATGGATTTTGAGCAAACCCACAATGAGTGGTGGTGTTTTGAGAGTGAGGGCTTGATCAAAGGAAGCAGCAAGAGTATTTTTTTTTTACTATAGTGGTTCTCTTAGCTGTACTGCACTGCTGTAGCACAGAACACACATGTAAAAGGGGAAGAATGAGGCAAAAATAGAATCAAGATAACTTTCTCTTTGGTCTAATGAGGAAATTTTGGCATGCAAATGTGCCAAGAAGGTAAGCTGGCTCTGAGATTTCAGAAAAAAACCCAGTCATTTCAGACACCTCAATTTTTATGGTTCATGAAAGTCTGTCCCTGTTTCCATATGTCAAGATGGACACCCAGAAGCACCAGTCTTTTGGTAACATTTAGGGATTATCCCTTGATTCTGAGTCCAGGGTCACAAAGGTTGTCTGCAGTCTGGTAATTCACAACAGAAATAGGAAAACTAGGTCAGAAAATGCTTAAGGGATTCCCATTTAATGACATTGAGGCATCAGTGTTGTCAAACCATTTATGATTTCAAGTTCTTCTTTCTTTTTCTTCTGTGCGGCAGATGATTTCTAGAAAGTACAATCAATTGCAAGTTCAGGCAGCATGGGAATAAGTGTCAATAAATACGGAAAATTGTACTCTTGTATGCCAGTGTACTGCAAAATCATCCAAAGTTTCTCTGCCCAGCCACTCTTGGAAGATCTTATTTCATCACATTTCTGAGCTGAGAAACAGTTGATATGTTAGAAAAATCTGTTGGGAGAGGTAATGCATGGTTTAAGACTAGCAGAAGTGTTGGGAAAGATCAGCATAAAGGTAGACACCTAAACCTAAGCTCATGCAGAAAAGGCACCTGTGGGATTGATGCATTTCATCCAGCCAGTGTCAGCCCACTACAAATGGGAAGAAAAAAAATATTTAAAAATTGTTTCTCTAAAGTACTTCTTTATCACCACTGAATTTTAAGGTTGTTTTAAAATAACTAATGTGTAGTTGTCTATCCTTTGTCTGACATTTAGCAAGGAAACATCCCAGAACATGGGAGCCCAAAAGAGTACCCAACTAACTTGATTTTTGGTTGCTTAAAAAACCAAAATCTTGAGATTTGGGAGAAATCTTGAACTGCTCAGCTTCACTGACTTACTCTTGGCTACAGAACAGGTATGTGCCTATGCTTTTTATCTTGATTGCAGAAAAAGAGCACAAAGAGGTGAGATCATACACAGCTCTGAATAGACTTATTACAAATCAGAAATCTTGAAGCCTTCTGCAACCCTAGCTGAAAACTGTCGGCTTCAGTGTGATCAGAGTGGAATATTTAGAATGTAATTTAACTCTTGTGTTACAATAACTCCTGTAGGGCCCAGAAAGATCAGGGCTTCATAGTACAAATGCAGACAAAACAGACCTATCTCAGAAGATTTACAGTATATATACATTTCTCTGATGTATATTTACTTATATTGTATATAAGTAAATATTTATATTTACTTGTATATTCAAGATCTCTATCCTTGAGTTGAATGTTATATTCAAACAGAGAAGTTCAAAGAAATACATTTTCTTGCATATTTATGAAGTTCTATGGGTTAAAAAAATTAAAAGTTCCAATTCTGATATATTAAAAGATTGTTTTCTATAAAACCACCACCACCCTGTAGTAATGAAAAATTTCAAGTGTAAATAGAGGTGAAGGCAAAGCAGTTAACTTAAGCAAGCACTTTTATACTTAATGTTAGCTGCTTCATCCACCATGACAAACTCAGTTTGGAGAATGTGTATCAAAAAATATAAACCCATTTTGGAACACCTTATAGGATCATTTAAACATAATGTTGAAAGGGATCTCTGACAAAGAGAGAGTCTCTGACAAACAGAGTCCAGTCTCCTGCTCAAAGTCAGACTAACTTCAGAGTTCATTGCCTGGTGTAGTTCACATCTCAAAAGGTCTGCAAGAGAATCCACAGCTTCTTGCGACACCTTGTTCCAGAATTTACCAGCTATACATCTCCACTCATTAACACAGCAATGGCATATTCTTTGGTTTTCTTTGGAAGTAATCCATTACCATCGAGAGAAAATTGCTAAGGACTTGCTTCCAAACTCCAACTTTTTAGACTGGAAATGACCCAAGGTGCATTTTGGTTAGCTGTGCAGAATAACCTATAAATGTATTAATCCACAGTCTGGGAATTGTTACAGGCCACTTTGCAAAGAGATTGCTGCTGCTTTTTGAGCAAGGCTTTTTTGTTTGGGATGCAGAAAAGAGCAGCAATGAATGCAGGCTTGTGGTTGAAATTTGTGACTAGAGGGAATTGTCTCTGAACTCCTAATGCCCTTTAAAAACTGTTTTACTTGAAAAAACTATTTGTAGAGGTTTGCTGATTTGGTTTCTTGTCAAGAAATGCCTAAGTGAGGGGAGCTGGTTTTGTGTTTTCACAAACTACTTTTTCTTTGAATGTACTGATTCAACAGGACCTCATCATCTTGTGGAACACAGCAGTCCAAGTAATGCTTTCCCCAGGAAAGGCTTTTAAGGTGCTGATGACTGTCTGGTCAAGTCAATGAGATCTGTGGGGAACCAGATTTTTCCTCCACAGTGGTGGATACAGCTGTGCAAGACATGAGGTTAATAACCACCAGGAGATGCCTGTCCATGAACTATAGAGTATGCACAGATGCAAATCTTAGGTGAGACACTTAACTTCTGCAGGGCTGAAGTCAGAAAGGTCAAATTCTTTTTTTGTTATATATTTAAATGGTTAGTGTCTATTCCTTTAAATGTTTTGTGGATGTAAATTGCTTTGGAAAACTACATGGCAAAATTATAGGGAAAGGAAAGAAATGGATAAAATGAGCTTCTTAAAGATCATGTGTTGCCAACAGTTATCCTCCCTAGGGAGGGAACAGCTGGACTAGGTTGCATTTTGTGACATTCACCTGGCAAATGATCATTGAGCACCCTATGGAGAAAATTTAATTGATGTCAAATACAGGGGTAGAACCACTTCTCTGTTCTGAGCAAATTTTTCATGTAGCAATGTCTTGTCTGTCACCTGTTTATCCCAGCCCATGGTTAGAAGCACAGAGGCCTCTGCTCCCTCAAGTAAAACGTGCAAATTTTTAGTAATCTAAGAATTTTTCCATATATGTGTTTGAGAGAGCGAGAGTGGCTTTTCACATACATGATTGAACTGGGTTCCCACCTAGTACTGCTCAAATGCAATCCACAGCCATGAGAGACTGAGCATGATTTTTGTAGGGATGAAGAACTCCATCATGTAACTGTGCTTTCACGAAGAAAGCAAGTTGGATGCTTGTTTCATGTAAAACTAGGATCTCAGAGCCTGAATGAGCTCAAGTGCTATTTTAAGCTTATTCATAGGCTTCTGTGATCTTGTTGACCTTTTAGTCCTGACATCCCTGGTGCCAAACAGTATGAAAAGCCAGATTCTCAATGAAAATGAGATTTTTGTCTGTGATTTAAGCTTTCATTAGTGAAACAGATACAGCACTGAAGACATTGTCATGTGAAAAGGATATATTTGACGTTAGTAGAGACTTCTTTCATCATGCTCTCCAGCCATGGTAGAGCTGGGCATGTGGGCAATATATGTGTTTTCAGATCTTTACCCTCGCATCTCCTCCAAACCTAAGATGCTGCTAGAATAGTTTTAGAAACCATTTCTTCATTAGTGCAGCAGTAATCATGGAAATAGGTCACAGGCTTTTTGGAGTTAAGCTGTTACGTCCCCACAGAGAACGACACTTAAATATCAATAGCGTAACCGGGAAAACTCGGCAGTTATTTCCCTGTTTTCTGCAATTCAATGAGGAGTTGTTCCATGCAGACCCCATTGCACTCCAGATGAATGGTGGTGATTGTGAGAAAATGATCTTCTATTAATGCAAGATGTCACATTGAGAACAAAGACTAGTTCTTACCATGATGGGATGAGCTCACCCTAATCCCCAATTTGGGAGACTTTGATGCTTGTTCAGGTGCCAGTTTTTCCATATGTGACATACAAGAAAGAACTTTAAAAAGAATGCTGAACAGGGCAATGTTAAACTGATTCATGGCTCCTGAATCTCAAGGTCATATTGGGTGATATGTCATGTAATTATCCTTTTGCATGCAATTTCCCAGAAAACCACCTTTCCTATCAATAGTTTGAGCTTTCAGGGTGCTATGAAAATAATTAATATTAAATTTGCCTTAAATAAAGAAGTGCAGGCCTTTTTTTTTGAGATCCCCTAGCTGTTTCAATTTATCTTGCATAAATGTCTAAAATATGTCAGTTTAATTAAAACCAGTTTTGCCTCCAGGTTTTTTGTACTGCAGAATTTACACCCTCATCCTGGGATTTTGGTGTGCCTTCCTGACACACTGTTCCTCTGCAGTGCCCACCTATCTATCAGAACAGGAAGGACCAGAAGAGTATGACTGCTCTGTTTCATGAGCTATAACAAATGCTGTGATAAGCGGAGATTTTGTATAAATTTACTCAGTTACAAAATCTGAAAAAAAAAACCCACTGTCATTGTGGCTTGGAGATTTCGGAATAGTGAGATAGCCAGCAGGATTTCAAACTCAATAATCATGTAAAGCTTACAGTTTCCTCTCTGTTTCAGTAGCCTTTTATGTTGGTTTTCCTATTCCACTAAAATGCCCCTTCTCTTGGTTCATTATCTCTTTGGCACATAACTGTCTTTTGCCCAAGATGACATTTAGAAAGTCAAGCAGCAAGTTCTAATAAAAAAAAAACCAAAAGGACATATATTGCTCATTGCTCTAAACCTGACTTTTTTTCCCTTGTGATCTGATGCAGGTGGCAAACAGAGGAGGATTGGGTGGGTGCTGTCCCATTGTCCTGCTGTTCCACCTTTTTATTGTGCTGAATCCTTTCTTTGGGGAAAGCAGGTGGAGTGCAGAAATATTTCTTATTCTGTATATCCCACCACAGTAAAATGTGAATGTTGCATAACCAACAGGATCAAAGGTTGTTAAAAACCTCAAAGAAATAGCATAATTTCTTCTATTCTAATTTTGAAGGTTATAGGGAAGACTTTTTTTGGGGGGGTGTATGCAGGGTGTCAAGAGAATAGAAAATAAACTCCCTGAAGAAAAAAAGAAATAAAATATTCAAAATAGTGCTGGAACTGCTAGACTTGTATTCCTTAGAGAACACAAATTTTTATTCTGTAGGCTGCTTTGTAAGGACTAAGCCCTCAAAAATTCTGTTTTCAGTTATGAGTTTATTTTAATGTATGTATGTTGTGATGTAAAGTAGAAGCAGATCAATTAGTAAAGTAAAAAAAATAGGCTGATGTGCCAGAAAGATAAAAACCAAAGTAGCATTACTTATACCAAGTAAAGGCCTGTAAAATTCCAGCCTAGATTTGTGGGAAAAAAAAGAAAAAAAGAAAAAAAAGAAAATCAATGTCAGAGTAATTGGCAGTTCAGAATATTGGAAAGATGAGGCACATTTTGAATATGACAAGATTAAATTCAGAAAGAGATAAATTGCAAGAAGACATAAAAGTAATCTAGTATTTGCTTTAGTTTTAAAGACAACTTAGAGTTACAATTTGTGTTTGTGTTACCAAAGGTGTGTGGTTTATAAAATGCTAGAATGAGTCTGGCTACATGACTAATTTCTGGAATATGCTTTTGTTTACCCTGGAGACTATTCTTTTTTTTTCTTTCTTTCTTCCTATCTTTCTTTAGCTCTGTATGCAGAATATCTGTGGGTTGCCATCAAGTTTTAGCTCAGGAACTTTCCTGAAGATCTTATAATTACCGCTTTTAATTAATACTGTCGGAAAGATTGTCAGCATCTGTGGCTTTTACCACAATAAAGAGAAAAACAGGAGATTGGAAAAGATACAAAGAACAGCCATCCTGCTAAGAGATGCGTGTGTGTTCTTCTCAGGTGGCCCAGAAGGAATTTGACACCTGCCCTGGTACCAGCCCATACTGGGGATGCCTGGCGGTGGTGCAACACCTCTTCAACAGCTGTGTAAAGCAGGAACAGAAATTGCAGCACTCCTTTAGAGCACAACTCCCCTTGCCTCCTCCTCCCCTCCCAGCATGCTACAAAGCTCCAGGTCACAAACACACCTTGCTGGCTGCCAGAGCTCATAGCAGCAGCGAGGCCTGGTGTGTGATCAGCTAATGACATCCCTCTGATTTCATCCAATGCTTGTGAGCTCCTCCGGGATACTCCTCCTTTGGTTACTGCTGATTCTCAAATTCAGAGCGTGTCAAAAGCCCAACTGCAGGCTCTTCTAAATAATAGTGATTTAAGCAATGCTGTGAACTCCTTCTAATTACATTTAAATCATCAACAGTAGGCTTTTTGTGTTAGCCCTAATGTGGAAGTGGCGTTGTTCTAGCCCAGTGGTGTTATTTTAGTGCTCTTCTGTAGAAGGTACTCATTGCCTGAAGTGCTTGAAATCAACCCTTTTTATGTTGTTTTGCTGGAGCTGTTGTAGTCTAAGAAGAAATGAGAGATGTATGAGCCACAGCAAGGAACATGTGGCTACTTGCACTACAAAATTGAAGGCCAAGCACAATCTAAATGCACTCGCGGGCAAGTTACTGTGCAGGATTCAGAGCTGACAGATGTAGTGGCATAAGTTACATGTTACTAAGTGGATATAAGTGGATCTGGCTGAGTCTGAAGGAGCAGAAATGATAACCTGGAAAAGAAGTCCTAATTACAGCAGTGTAAGTGATGCTAGAACAGTTTTAAGTACCAATCGCAGAGATAAGCTTAGACAACAACATGCAAAAGTTACATAGATCTACTGGGAGCTATTCAATTGCCACATTTATATTAGTTTATTTCATTGCTGAAACCCTCTTCCTGTGTTTCTTCAAGTTTGGATTGCTGCATGCATGGTGCATAGAAGTTGCTGTGTTCTGTGCATTCTCTGAGCCTCATCAACCTTGTCTGATCGCTTACTTTCCTCTCTGTGTAAGTAGGATGTGTATTTAGGGAGCAGGGAGGGCTGCTGCTCTGTTTTCAGGCATTCCTAAGAGCACAATGTGCTGCTTCTCTCCTGCATTTTCCTTGTATGTCATTAGCAGTCGACTTGCTGAGCCTTGCCATTTCTGTTTACCGTTGCAGAACATGTCAACCAAGGCAATATAAAAGGTTGTAAATAGTATCTGGGATGTTTAAGATATAGTCGTGTTCTTAGACACAAAGCATGAAACTGCCAATACTATGCTGATTTTAATGGAAGTTTTCAAGGCTTTGCACACAAAAAGGCCATATGAGACACTGTTCTTCTACCTCATGCTATTTTTTTGCTTGCCTTTCTCTACTTTCTTAGTGCAGTAATAATAGAGTTTGGGGATCAGTAAAGTAGTTTGCTTTGTTTAAAGATGCCAGGTCAGACATCAACATTGTTGCTTCTGCTCTAGTGCCCTTTCAGTTCTAGTTTGTGCAGGATTATATGAAATGAATGTGTACATTAGTTGTTAATATAACTAATTTTCTCCACTTCGTTGCTTGACTAAGTTCTGCTGCCTCATGACACCAGCACTTGATTAGAATTAGATTTGTTCATACTGGGGCAAGGAGCACTGAAGAGGTGGTTCTATATTGGAGAAGCATGTGCTTATCCATGGATCACTGATGCATTTCATTTATTTGGCAAGATTTGTTTTGGATTGGTTTGGGGGATGGAGAGACTACTTCAACTGCTCTCCAGTTCTGACAGCAAAGACAACAGTAACCTTGGCAACTAAGGATGCTGAAATACCACTTAATCCTTACTCCTAAGTCAATAGGGTTTTGTTCAAGTAATAAATTATCAAACCTCTCAGCATGTGGCTGAAGAAACTATAAAATAAATCGGGTACTGCAGTTCAGATAAAGTATTGGTGCAGCCACTAACTGCATGGCTGCACAATTGAAATAAACTTTGTCAGGAATTTTCCAGCCAGAGGTTTTTTTTTTTTTTTCTGTCTGAAAATGCTGATTCATAGAAATCAAAACTGTGGGAGAAGATTTGTTTTCAAGTTTCTCATTTCAAAGCAAAACCAAGTAGTTGTTTAAATATCTTTCTCTGACATTTTCTTAACAAAAATGTTAAACACTTTACAGAAAAATATTTTGTTAGGTGAAAGGCTGTAAATCTAGCAGCTGTGTATTGCAGAGTATTTTGGAGTAAGCAGGTGCCCAAGAAGAAAAACCTGCTCCCTGTCTTGCTGCATAGGGTTCAGCTAGGTGAGCTGGTGGGGCCTGAGCTGTATCAAAGCTGTGAGAGTGCCAGGTCCAGGGGCAGGAAGGAGGGTGAGAGGAAGGAGCAGAGTCACCCCTTCTGGCTGCAGCTCCTGCTAGTGCTGCACAGAGTACAAGGTGAAGTCCTGCTTTGAGTTAAGGTTTTGCTCTGAATCACCCTTGGAAGACCTTCTCTTTGTCTCTCTCTCTCTTACATTTGTTTCTTTTGTCTTTGGGGTTTTCTTTTTAAAAAATTTTGACTTTTTGTCTCTACAGCAGAAGCCCTTAATATCCTCCTGAATATTGGTCTTGGAACAGTTTCCAGTCTACGTTTATACGCACAGTAAATAGGAAGGAAGTTCCTTTGATATTTGTAGCAATGACTTCTGTTTATTATCCTGAGAGTCATTCAGCATGATCAAAGGTAGTAATTGTTTCTTTATAGCCCAAACCTCTCCTGAAGGTGGGGGGGTATAGCTGCCTGTAACAAGACCAGAAGCATGCACAACCTTTCATTTACTACCACAGCCTCTTATTGTAGGAAAGGTTGCAGTTTCAGTTAAGCTGCTGTGAAAATTTTTACAGTAGGGGGAACTAAATCTTTTTTCTTCAAACTACTTCTTAATATAGGGATGGCCAGCCAAACAAATACCAGTTGGTTTGGGAGGGAAAAGAAGACATGGCAGTATGGCCAGGGTTTGGGGTCAGGTCAGGAGGACAAGCTGCTTGGAGTGAAGGTGGTGTGGGCAGGAGATCGGGCAGGGTGTGCTGCCACCACCTCGGCTTCCAGTGCTGCTTGCCAAGCCAAGGCTGGGTACAAGGAGTCAGGAGACAGCGGTGCAGCACCACCCAGGGGAGCACTGCTTGCTGAGGGCAGCTTTTAGTTGCCAGTTTTGGAACTGCCTTCTTAATTTAGCAGCCAATTTGAGTGAACCAAGCCCCGTTTGTTGACTTGACATATATAGATATATGGAGCTGATACAGACAGATAGTTTTTGATACAATATCAATAATTTTGAAATAAATACAGGTATTTTAAAAGTCTTGAGAAATGACATGTTTTTTTAAGGTTGAGAGAAAGCAGAACAACTTCTACTTTATTTTCCTTGTCTTTCCTGTATTTCTGTCTCATTCAGTTGTTCCTTGGTTCCCCATTTCTTGCTTTGTTTTTAGGCTGTTTTCCCACACAAGGTTTGGAAATGTTTTCAGGTCATCTATAAAGCCATATTCCTTTGGCTTTTCCTGTGTTCATATATAAACACATATAAAAGGGAAGTTACTATTAGAGTTCCTGTCATACCATCTTGAAAGGTATTTTCAAGGCTGAAGAAAAAGATGTTTCATCTTTTCACTGTTGTACACTAGTCCCACCTTGTGAAGCTAATCCATCTGCTGACTTCTGTTAGCATTGTTAGTATGTGTACTCATTTTATTCCCTTGGTTTTTCTCTTTTAAGCATCTCTTTTAAGCAGCTCAGCCAGAGAGGGCGTATTGAACCTTGCAATGCCTTACTGTATTACTTTGGCAGTGGGGATATAAGGAGTCCAATATTCATATGAAAGATCTGCCTCCTGTAGGAAAATCCTTAAAAGCCTAACCACATGTTCTGAGAACCAAGGGAAATAAAGCTGGGACAGCTAATTGGATCTTGTGCTGCCCCTCTTATTTTTCAACCAATGAAAGCATCAGTAGTGTTTTTGTATATTTTGGGGTTCCTTGTTGTTCCCTCTCAAATCCCTTTCTTGGAATGACTTTTTTCTTAACAAACAGGATCCAGATGCTTCAGGAAAGAGTAATAGCTACTACTTAAGTCTGACTGTCTTTTCCATTTATTTTGTGTTGAAAGCCTGTTAAGAAAGTTTTATCACTTTAAAAGAAAATGCAAATAGACATGAAGGAATCATTTTGCTTTTGTAGATAATAAGTGTTAAAAATAATTTGTAGAGTTCATAAGGAAAAAGATTCTTAAGAATGATTGTGCTGTTGTGACAGATTAAAAAAAAAAAAAAAAAAGGCTGGAAATGGGAACATTATGAACTTGTTAGATGAACCTTTTCAGTTGTGCTAGCAATGTCCTGCATGCCCTTCACTCCCATTTCTAAGGTGAGTGCTGAAAGGAAGGACAGAAAGTGGTCCCTCACACTCCATCCTGTGCCCAGGCAGGGGCTTCTCACTCTCAGGCTGATTTGGCTGGTGCCCATGTTGCTGCCACCCCATTACTGGATGCCTAGAGGCTGCTGCTCATTTTTTCAGGAGAGCCAGCCGAGGTTGCAGCAGTGCTCCATCACTCCCTTGAAGTTTTAGGGGGAAGGAAAGTTTAGTTTACTTTGCTGGTTGATCAGTGTGCTGCTGCTTTGGCTTTGTACTAGTGTGACTGTCAGGTTTGCAGCTGTGCAAGTTCTGCCCTTGCCACCCAAGGGGGACCTTTCCTTCTCCCTGGCATGTGTTCAGTGCACGTGTTACGCTTGTGTTTGCACGGACATCTTCCAAACTGTGAGCATTTCAGATCCCTCCTGAACTGAATTCCATTCTGTTTAATTACTACACGAGCCATAATGTTACTTTGTGCAACTGGGACTAGCTTCAACAAGTCCCCTGAATCTTTAGGGCTGTCTACAGCAGTACCTCGAGCAAGATGCTGTAGCCAAGGGCCCCTAGGACTCTGTAGCATCCCTCATCCAAGTGTAGTATTACACGGGTTATATTTGCTCATGCAGCAGAAACTACAGCTTATAAAGAGAAATTTAATGAAAGGGAACTAATAAAAAGGTAGAGGTGTTATTTAGAAAAAGCAATTTTGTACTTACCCTAGGTCTAAGGCTGCTTTTAAAGTTGAGTCAAATTTGGTAAATTTTCACATAACAATGCTGATCTGGAGTATGGTGGTTCATGATTGCACTGCTTGGATTGTGACAGCAGCACTGGTTGCCCTTTCCTCTTTTCTAACAGGGAACTGGAAAAGGATGCTGCATAACATCCTGAAGCACCCCTGAATATGTACCCCAGGGAGATAAGGAAGCCCAACAGACACTGTTTGAATACAGGCATTTAAGCTGTCCATGCTTAAATAGCAGTACTGGCCCTCCTTTGCCTGGAGCAATACATGAGTTTGGTGCATGTGATTGCTGTGGCAATTAGTTCACTGCAGATCTTTAATCTTAAAGTACGGATCTAAAACATTTTTCTCAAAGTTTGCTTCTTTTACATGGAGTTGGCTTTTTTTTCCTTTGTGTCTTTAGTGGTGGGGTTTCTTCCCCCCCTGCCATTACCATCATTTTACTTTAGTATGCTACAGGTACAGAATTTGAAGTCTTGTCATTTTTAACAAGTTTTTATTTTATCTTAGTGTATTTCCTACAGAATGATGCCCTTTTTTGTCACTAAGTCAATGGGCTGAAATGAAAATGAACACTGTTGACTTCCACAACACACAAATCAAAATTACGGTTTCCATTATGATTGCTTGGACTTTCAATCAATAGAACATTTAAAAAGAGCCTTGATGTCCAGTAAAGTAAAACATGTTATAATTAGGCAAAAATAGCATTTGTAAAATTGTGATGAGTTTTGAAGAAGCTTTTGGGTGTATGAAATTGCTGTCTAATCACTTTCTTTAAATGAAAAGTGACAGGTAGGTGTTATATCACAACAATGTCACTCTGCTTCTAAGAGTCCTTCCGTAAGCAATCCAACATCAGGCAAACCCAACCAACCTCGATTCAGTCTTATTTCATGCAGCTACTAGACAGGCTTATTTGCTGTAGCATATCAGACTTGAGTTCATTTTAGTTGGAATCTTCCTGTTCAACATAAAGACTTAAGCGTCTTTATTTATGATGAAACTGAAAAAAGGGGGAATTACTGAAATTGACACAATCTTTTTCAATTGATACAATCTTGTCTGTCTTCTGAGTACACTTTAAAATTGTGCAGGTAATTCAGGAACCTGGATGAAACGGAACATCAATGAAAATCAGAAAGTCACTCCATAGATGGACTCAAAAACTTTGGGGAGATCCTCGTGTCTTTTTGCTTCCAAATAAAATAAAGACCCTAGTGACAAACCAACCTTTTAAAATATCCTCCCTATTGTGGTTTCGTTGGTTAGCTCTGAAAATCACTGAATCTGAGTTAGTGGAAATATTTTACATTTTCTTTTTTTTTTGGTCAGATTTGGAAGTATTTTTTTTCAGGTATGAGCTTTGCAGCTGACGCAGGTTTCTCCCACGTACCATGTAGTGTGCAAGGATGGGAAGGTGACCCTGTACCTTGGAAGAAGTCGCTGTTTTGTCACTAGGTAGACATTGACATGTGTTCCCTAAATGCCACCCATCTCAGCTCTCCTGCCTTTCCATTGCATTCCTGAGTTTCAAAGCCATCACTTAGTCTCCCATTTGGGCAGAAGCAACTCCACGAATGCAGCAACTCAAGGTTTTTCTTCAGTTTGATTTTAGCATGCACTTATAGACACTGCTTGTGAAGTGGTGAACGTGAGAAATCTGGAAAGTGAGAGCCAGCATATGGAGCTAGCAAATGAAGATGGGAACGATGAACTAAATGTTGCTTTGGGGAGACATGATGTTAAGCATTTGGCTTTTCAGCTTTACAGCTTAGACTGCATAAAGAAAATTTATACTCTTCGACCCAGTGATGTCTGAATTCTAAATGTTTATTGGAAATATGATTGCAGTTCATGTAGATGTTTTCATAGAATAATGTGTTGTCAATAAAGGGGTTAGCATATCGCTCCCCTCAAAAATCTCATGGCTCACAATCACTTTCCTCATTTTCCTATGAGTACAATATGTTATTTCTTTATTTTCTGGATATTGGAGTATCTTATGTGCAAGTTCATGAACTCTTATCATAAGGCACCTACTACTCTTAATGATACACATACTACACAATAGTAGGAAGAAGAAAAAGAAAATAACTTTTTTGTTATTTTCTTCTAGTGTTCAGACCTTTATACATTTTTCTCTACCATCCTCAGGTCTTCTTTATATGTTTTTTTTTTACCTTTCTTCAAGTTTTCTCAAAGTGTTAATAGTGTTAATATTGTTCTCAATTACTTTTTGTGGAAAGTGGTTTTATTATTTTTTTTCTACTTTCACTATGGGAACAAATCATCTCCCCTTTTAATAAAGTTGTTCTTTTAACTTTTTCACATACAGAAAGGTAGCAACATTCTTTTGTAGGCAAAGTCAGAGAGTATCAGTAGTTATGGTAAAATGATTAAACCAACAGTTGATCAGATTGAACTAACAAAATGCAAACCCCAAAAAACTTTGCTTTCACGTGTTTTACTGGACTACTGGTAAAACTGTTCAAATTAACGCCACAGAAATACATGATGAAATAGCATTTCTGAGTAGTCTTTCAAAATTGTTAAAAGCTTGTAGTGTCAAGTACTTTTTCAATACTGGAAAGAATTAAAAGAGAGAAGGAGATTATGAAGATTTTGGAAGTAAAATAAATTTATTTCTGGTAATGGAACTTAAAACAACATGCAGATTTCCAGAAGCTTTATTGCCCGGTACTTTTATTGGCAGAGTGAAGAAGGATGCCTAGTGGAAGGGTAGGCTTACAAGTAGTTACCTACCCCTATGTGTAGCGGATAATTGGGTCTCACACAACACTTAGATCTGTGTCTGTGTCTGCCTCTGGTTTTCATTAATGTTGATAATATCTTAGCAAGCATTCAGTGAGTCACGTCATATGGATCTGCAAATTGTTATTTAGAAGCAGGTATCAATTTCAATGGCAGGAGTTTGGTTCCAGCCAACAGCCCTGCTGATGGCACCAAACAGCCATGGATGCAGAGCTTCACTGGGCTAGCTGCTTGTTAGGAAGCATTGTGGTGTGGCTGGCTGCAAGCCTGTCAGGCTGAAACAGTTCATGTGAAAAGAAGGAAAAGTCTTGTTTTAAACACAGTGACTTGAGTCTGACCCGTATTCATGGGCATGAGTTATCTGCTTGAGACCACAGGAAACTTTCCTGGAGAGGAAAGATTCAGTCACAGGTTAGAATGGCTGTGCTTTTTATAGAGATTCACAAGTTTTATTAAAGTTTAGATTTGGTTTTTGTTAACCTCTGCTCAATGCTGGATGATTTCTAGCCAGTGAAGATATTAAATATAGTTCCAGAAAAATCTAATTTTCCCTGGTAAATTACCTGGAACCATTGTGGGTAAAGTTGTTTGGCTTGGCATAAACTCCCCTAAGAAGGTTTGCCTGTGGATATGGCAGCCGAGATGGATTTCTATTGAAGAAGGCTCTCCTTCTTATGAAAAATAAACAATTTAAATCTTCTGGAAGAGAGCCCAGATTGTTTATTCTTAGGCTTAAAATGATGGCCTTTCATAAAAATCTGGAGACACTCAATCTACATATTCAAGTAAGATTCGCAATACAAGTGAGCAAATGCGAGTCCATATGTTTGTTGCAAATCTTCAAGGAATGACAAGAGGGCTCTTGGTTTTGTTATTCTACTGGCAGCAGTGGCTTTCTTGAGAGTCTGACTCCTTTATACAGGACTACTTTTCCATGAAGGGTTTGTTGCCATTGTGACAGTGGCGAGGATCCTTCTTCCTGACTGACAGCCAATGTCAAATACTGAGCACTTTATTGAATTTTTGCACCTTTTTGATCTTACTATTAGTCTTCTCACTTTATTCTCAAGATACAGACTGCTCTTAGGATCTCTATGGATACTGAGGAGGACTTGCTCTTTTTACACTCATTGGCAGCATTGCCAACTGAAAGGTTTTCTTCTGGGTTCTACAACTTCTATGATGTTTCTCTCGTCCTTTGCATTTTGGTGGCTGTTCCTTGTTCTCCCCTCTTCAAAATGGGATACATGTTACTAACAAAGTTGCTTGCAGGTAGTAGGAATCCATCTCATTACTCATAAAGTTTATCTTGTTCCTCGGTCTGTACACATAATCAGGACTGTCTCATCCCAGATGCAGAATCCATCACTTGCCCATCTTAAACTTCACACAGTTGGTGATTGCCCACCTCTCTGATTTGTCGAGGCCTCTCTGGAGGGCCTCCCTGCCTTCGAGGGAGTCAACAGATCCTGCCAATTTAGTGTCGTCAGTACACTTAGTATCCCTTCCAGTCCTGCATCCAAGTCATTTATGAAGATGTTGAAGAGCACAGGGCTGTGGATGGAGCCCTGGGGAATCCCATCAGTGACAGGTCACCAGTCCAATGTCACCCTGTTCCCTATAACCCTTCATGCCTGAGTGGTGAGCCAGTTGCTCATCCATGGCATGATGTGTTTATCCAGCTGTGTGCATGACATTTTGTCCAGAAGGATCCTGTGAGAGACAGTATCAAAATCTTTACTGAAGTCCAAAAAAGTTACATCAGTTGGCTTCCCTTGATCGACTATGCGAGTTACCCTGTTGTAGAAGTAAATTGGATTTGATGAGCAGGACTTCCCCTCATGAAATTGTGCTGGCTGTGACCAATGACTCTTTTGTCTTCCAGGTGTTTTTCAATACCTCCCAGAATAATCTTTACCATGAAAGGGTATTCAGGCTTTGAAGTAAAATGTCACATCTGTAGGCTGAGCACCAGATGACTATAGAAATTTAATCCATTATCTGAAATAGTCTTGATTTTGTTCTTTTCATTAGCCATGTATAGATAGTAAATTTTTTTTTTGTACAATCTCAGAAACATAGCTTACATTCTATATTTTCATTATAGACCATTTGCATTTTATGCTATCATAGCACTACTGTGTACTCCTTTATCCATACATTTATTCTCAAATTGATGCATCTGCTTCATATAACTCTCATTTTATGCCTGACATACTCTTTTGATTGCAAATTATTGCTGTGGCTTGTTTTCAAAAGCTTCATTTTCAACTGTATTCTTAAATCAATTTCAGAAATATATTAGAAATAATAAGAAAATAATTCCCACAAGGCTCTGTTAAGGATTTTGTGAGAACATTGCTTACTTCATCATTCACTGGAAAAAATCTTGAAAGGAGTAGTTAATGCTGGTGTCATCTCGTGATTTTCCACAAAAATGAAGTGAAGTTTTCTGCTTTTGGTCTTGATCTCTTATATGTTTACTTATATGAGAAGAGTGCCAGTGCAAGAAGACATACATTTAAATTCAGATGCGTAAATTTCTTCCCAATCTGGGCTGAATGTCTTTTGTACTGATGGCTGCGCATTCACTCAGGAAGGCCCAACATCAGCCAATGATCAGAAATCAGGCTGTTTCCACAAGAAACAGGTGCTGGAGATGGATCTGCTCAGGATCAAAGCAGTAATAATATTAAACTGTAAATGTAACGCTGAGACAAAAAGACAGATCACTAAACACCAGAAAGTACAGCAACAGTGTTAAGAGGGTTAGCATTGTCTCATTTTGCATATTTTTAAATTATGTTAAATGCAATACAATGTTAAGATATATAGTTAATGAGAAAAACAAGACAAAAATACTAAATATACAAAATAAGGCTGAATTAATATCAGTAGTGGAACAGTTGTTTAAAAGTTTACTGACACTTCTGACTACTGATGGGAGTCTATTAATACTTCCTTTTCTATTTAACTCCTAATCAGTAAAAAAAACCCCAAACTCAATATTGTTAATTCTGCATTTGACAAGTAGACTATTAGAAAAAGAAATAGCATACAACCTTATTCCTTTTTAATTAACTTTAGGGATAAAATTGGCACTAACCAGATCCTTTTGAGTGATTTGGATGTTTGAACTCTTTGAATGTACAGTTGTTGGTCTTTGGTGCAGTCATTTGTCTTTATCAGGGTGGGACCAGAAGATGGATCCATGACACTGCTGTAGGGCAGGGGCTGGTAGTGGTGCATGGCGGCAATGCAAGCCTCAGGGCACAGGGAGAGGGACATGTGTATGGATGGATGCTTCCTGCTCCTCAGTCACATGATTGTAGCAAGATTAACAGCTCTGATTTTGAGGAGAAAGCCTCAGTATGCCAAGTGTCAGAAGTCAGAAGATTGATAACTTGAAAATATGGTTATCGTTTATTTAGCAAGTATTAAAGGCCTGAAAAAGCCTCCACCTTCTTAACTGTACAGTTTCTCTCTCCAGATTTTCAAATACAGCATATAATGTTGAGAAGAAATGGACTATGGAAATTTTAAATCTGAAATGGATTTATTTTTGAAATTATCAGTACATGACTAGGAGCCCCTAATGGAAATTGCTTTGTAAATGCCATGCCTACTGAAAGTATTAGTGAAAATCTGATTTGCATTTTTATTCCATTCACTCTGATGAAATTGAAAGAGACAAAGATTAGCAATAGATCAGTTGGAACAGAAAACTTCCATTCTCACACTATATCAGAGAGATAATTTGAATTCCCACTTTCATCTGGATGGCCGTAGATGGTGGGACTGTTACCTGTTAGGTTGTACAACGCTTCTGTGTTCTTCAAGCTTTAAATTGGTACACAGATATCACTTTACATAAAAATGTGCATAAATGAAGTCTCTGTTACGTGTCTGACAAAATCAGCCAAGCTGCAGGGAAGCTGTGATGGAAATAGAGATTATCTGCTAAAACTGATGGATCATGATGGAGGAACTTCAATGACAACTTAGAAGCATCCTCTTGACTACTTTCTTTTTGCCTATGAAGTAGGGAAAGTGGTATAGTGATTAAAAAAAAAAAAAGTAGAAATCAAGGTTCTGATTCTGCTAAGACATTCTCAAAACACTTATTTCTATATGTAGTGTATATTTCCATTACTATAGTAAAGGAATTAAAGGAAAGTAAAAAAAAACCCCTTTCCTTTATCAAGAAAATGTCAAGTTTCCATAGTGAAATCCCTGAGAACAGAAAATATCCATTGTTAAGGTTGCACAGGATTGGTATCTAGCTCACAATGTTGCTCCTTCCTAAGTTTTAATTCTTTTCATTTATCATCTTCATAATGTTTTTTTTCTGTAGATAGCTAGAAGTAAATAAGCATGTGAAAGAGCTGAATACTGTCTTTACAATATATTCTTTTTTCAGTGGAGCTAGCACAGAATTAGTTTTCATGTTAAGAACAGCAGAGCACTAGAGCAGGTGATGGCACTTGTCCTTGTTGTGAGATTTGTCATTCTCTTTCAAAGCAGCAGAGCATTTCCAGTTTTGGTCTCCTCCAGGCAACAAATTTTTTGCTCTGCCTTCTCATTCTCAGGGCCCATCCATTACCAAGTAATTTTTTCATATATTTCATTCTAAGGCAGTATCAATTTTTCTGTGCATAAAAGTGTGTATTCAGCTGGTGGCAGATTCTGCATGACCTTATAAGCTTCTGACTCCCACTGGCTACACACTTAAAATAACTTTTTTTGAGAAGCTACATCTTCCTGAAGGCCTCAAGTTCAACTTAGATTATTTTTTTGGCCCTGATTCCTGTATTGAGATTCCTTACCTATTAATCACTTTTTTTTGACTGATTATTTTCAGAGGAGCATCCATAAAATGCCAAGCGTGATGGAAGTTGGCAAAGACAACTGGTGCTGTGTTGGAACCTGTGCTAAGCTGTTCAGCATGAAGTGTCACAGAAATAGATTATGCAGCTTTTTGGGGGGGCTAAGCCAAAGAGTATGTGATGGATTGCTGGCTCCTCAGGAATCAAATTACTGATACATGCAGAACCTTGCTACTGTTCTTGTCACTCATGTTGTCAACTGGAGGAAAAAATACTTGTGTGTAGTGCTTTGATGGAAAGCCTACAGGGATTGCTGTTCAGGTTGTTACTTGGGATGGTAACTAAGAGGCAGAACAAATTTTCAAGGAAGTGATGTGAGGACACTGAAGAAAGAATTTCATGTGATGTGAGGATACTTGAGCACATGTTCTCTGTAAAGTTTAAAATATCCATTTGTTTATTTGCCTGCCTTCCTTCTTGGGTCATCTTTTTCCTCTCCTACTACTCAGTCTTCCTTGAATTCAAAATTGCTGAAGCTGTGATATACGCCTTCATGAAAAATAGTCAATGATACATTTGTGTCTCCACCTCCACTGGAGTCTGCCTTTCAGTTGTCTGCAGACTGCCAAACTGCATTAGGTCCCAGGAGCTCAATAGATCTGTCTCTTTTGACTAAACAAAAATTTAGCTGGTTTTAAAATGAAATTTGAGAGACTGTCAAAGGTGAATTAGTAAACTAATTTTCTCAGGACTGGGAGTAATACTGCCTGCACAGCTCTTCTACCACAACATCTTACAAGACTGAAACCTATAAAGCCTTATTGACCCAAGAATTCAAACTTCCTTGAGGGTGATAGGAAAGAATATAGACACTGGCCTTAGCGAGCCTTGTGGGTGGGAGCACCTTCCTTAGGCATAGTGTGAAGAGTTTTATTTGTATTCTATTAAAAGGATTCACGGTAGAATCAACAGACATTTTTTAGTTTGCTGATCAACTAGATCTTTTAGCCTACCAGATTTTCACTACTGGCACATTCCACATGTTTTTGTGCCATAGATTTCTGCCCACTATGCAAGGTGATGCCTGCCCTATAATGCTTTAGACTAGTTTCTCCAGAGCTCCTTGAGCTCTCATGTTAGCATCTCAAGTGACTCATGTTTTACTGCACAATTCAAAAGCAGATTTTTAATGGAATGACAGCATTCAAGTTATCCAGTGTCATTGCAAAGAGCAATGACACTGGATAAGTTGAATGCTGTCATTTCATTATGTCCTTGAAAGCTCCTGTATTCAGTGGTCCAAAAATTACTAAAATCAGGCATATATGATTATTCTACACTTATTTTCTCTTTGCTGAAGTACTCTAATCCTGTGTATCTTGTGTTTAGAGGGCGGGCCTGTAAAAGATTGATGAAATTCTTGAATGGGGTGTCTTTCTTTTTTTCCCCCTTTTTATCTATATTCTGTGCTTTCATTTTTAAGTCTCTTACTCTTTGTCATGGCTTAATGAAGCTCACTTCTGCAGCCAACCTTGTACAGTTCAGAAAGCAGGAGGAGGTGTGCAGTGGTCATCTGAGGAAGCAGGGCCAGAATCCTCCTCATACACCACATTTGGAACATAGCCAGGCTCTCTGTGTGCTGTTTTCTGCCTTCTCATTCCCTTTTCGATGTCTGCTGGCAAGTGCTATTAAGCAGCTACTTTGCTAAAGATTTGAATTACTGGCCATGAAAAGTTGCACTTAAGTAGGTGTGATGTTTGTTGATCTGTAGCAGTAATCTGTTTTCCTTAATAGGTTTTCAGATGTAGGTGATTCCTTTTAAACTGGGTTTTCTTTGCTAAACTTACCCTGTTCTATTTGCACTGCCACATGTGCAGGACAGGGGCTGCTCTGCTTGCTCCCGACAGGAATGCAGTAATTACAGACAGCAGAGGATGAAAAGGGCTCTTTATCGGCTAACCTGGCTGCCCTAAACACTGTGCACCAGCAGCATTTTATTGGCAGATTAAATGTCAGGTACCTGGCTTTAGAACTGACTCCTGCTGTGTTTTGATGAATACTGGTACTTTCCCAGCTCAAAATAAAAGAGTGCCAGGAGTACACTAGTGCTTTAAAACCTAATATTTGAAACAGTCTGCAGTATCATGAGACTTTTGTCATCTTTCCTGTATAGCCCACCTGAAAGCGTTCCTGCCTTGGAGCAGATTTTTAACATGTACAAGAAATTAGCTTGAGCTCTACAAAAAACAAAGCCATGTGTTTTCTGCACAGAACAAGAACATTTGCAGTAAAAACAAGTTATGAGAATAAACAACTTTACCTGTCTCTTGAACACAACATCTTTATGGTAATTTTCATATAAGCAGTGGCAAAGGATGTTTTCAAAGTACAGTCTTCTGAGATGTTAGCATAAGCCAGAGAGGATAAATCCAAGTTTTAGGATGGAGATTCTGATTTTTTTTTTTTAATGTTCTAGCTATCACCACTCAAATCTGTCAGTAAATTTGTTTCTCTCTTAGTAAGCTCTGATGGTTGATGTACGCTCCTGCTCCAAAACCCCTTCTTTTCTCCACTCCTGCCCCCTGACTTGTGTTTCCCCAATGCAGACAAATAATTACATGCTTGTGCAGTTTCGGGTACTCAGATGAGAACATAAATCACAAGGTCCACTGTAGTTCCACACTTGATGTTGTAACTTTTATCAGTCTGCAGTGCAGATGCTGTAATTACAAAGAGAAAATTACATCACTTTTCCAGGTGCTGCCTTGAAAAAAATGTACCTCCTGAACTTGTTCATACTGTATTTCCATTAGTTTGATTAGGAGAACCACAAGGAGATATAATGCCCCAGTGACCTTTTCATTCTCCTCTCTAGTGCCATTTTTTTGACAGCTAAGGTCAATATCTGCTCTGTGCCTTGCTTTGTTGTGGATGTGTAGTGAGGTTTTATTCCCTTCTAGCCAGACAGTATAGAAAGGAGGGTTTTCCAGGGTAGGCAGGCATTTTAACAGGCTTATAGGCATAGCCTATTACTCATACAGATACTTTACACTTGATGTGTAAATTGTAGGCTCAAATCAGCACAGCTGAACACTTTACCAGTTCTTCCCAGGTCTGTATAGCTGCTATGGCACCACTTTACACCTGCAGCTTACTAATGGTCCAGAAAAATGGTGGATAGAAAGGATAAAAAATGTGTCTGAAAAACTGTGCTTTTCAAAATGAGACTGTTCAGTCATCTTAAGTTGTCTATGAGGAAGATATTTGGTAACATTTTCTAATGGAATGAATATATTTCACTTCATTGCTTCAATTAAATAAAGCTGTGGCAAATATATACTCTTAGGCACACAGAGATTCAGGGTTGGGTTTTGTGGTTTCTGTTGGTTTTTTTGTTTTTTTTGTTTGTTTGTTTGGAAGGTTTTAAAGAAGTTTGAGGGCAGTAATTTGAAATGCTCTGAAGCAGCTAATTATTTTGCAGACTATTATCTAATGGATTAATAGGCCTATTTTTTCCCAGTGATTGCATCATTAATGACTGCACACTATTAGCAGATTATGGAGTCCAGTTAATAAATGCATTTATGTATTAGACACCTGACAATGTAAAGGTGCGTTTGTTTGTCATTTGATTTTATGGAGCTGTTGTGTGTTTAGTTGTACACATCACATTGCTAAAATCAGTCAGGCATCGCACAGGCTTAATGAAGGACAGTGTTAACAAACCTGCTACGACACATCTCTTAGAGGTCAGCATTTTACTCTGGACTCTCAAAAAAGAACAAGTAAAGGAAGAATAAATTTGACCATCTTTAAAAGTTATTAATATAAAGTAAATGAGAAGTTTTAATTAACCATATTAATTAGTTAATTGTTTTTTGCATAGCCTCTATGGCTTCCATCTGTGAATGTCCCCTGAAAGAATAATGTTTGTCTGTTGATTTAGATTCTTTGGGATTTTTTAAAGAAAAGATTTATTAACCTGGTAACTTTAAGAAGAGCTGCTTTCAGAAATATTTTGCCATAACCTTATAATAATCTTTGGGTGATTTGCTAATATGCCAGTCTCTAATGACTGCAGAAGTACTGTGTGACAGGTATGTCAGATGGGTGATCCCTTTCAGCTGCTCAGTGCATGGGGCACATTGGGCAGTATCTCACTGTCATAATTGTCACTGATATTACCTAGTGGTGTCAGTTTGAAGTTGGTTTTCTCTGCTAGGCTGTAACTTCTGAC